ACAACCAATTTTTCTTTTCTTTAGAACATGCCTTTTTTAGAAAGCAGAACAAAGGTTAGCAACCTGGTCATAACAAGAGGTTCACTTACACTCCACATGGCTAACATCCCCCAACACTGGAGAGCTTCAAATTTTAACTGTATTAATGCAGGATTAAAGTTTTAGTTAATTTAAACATTTAGGTGATATAATGTAAAAATTGCATGGACATAGTTTCAGTAAAATATCAGAACCAGCAAATCAAAATTAGCCAATCAAACAGAAGATCAAGAATGTAAAATTGTGTTCAAGTTGAGCCTATCTCTACTGATATAAGCAGAAGAGAATCAGCATTTAAACAGATTGTACTATAGCAACAGAGGAGAAGCAATCACATCCACAGACCAAGAATGACACATCTGCACAACACATTGGCACCGTAAAATTCCACTAACTACTCCTGGGCAAAGAATTTGACATGAGAACTAATGCTCCATCAATCAATAATTGTATTTATTTGTAAGTACAAGATTTGTATACTAAAACCAAATACGCTCCCAAAAAGCTTGCATGTGAGATTTATGACTGATGCTTGTTGTTCCCATAATGAACTAATTGCTCTGACAAAGACTCATCCTTTTTCTTTTCCACAACACTAGTATTTCGCCTAATAGATAGTTGTTATTGTTTCTTCCATAAATCCATGTTTGTATTTATTCATATTTCTATAGTTAGAGGCATTGCTACTTTAGAGCCAATGAAACAAACTGTAGCTATCACACCCTCTACAACTTAAAAAAAACACACAATTAAATAAATAAGTTAATCTTTAAAAATAAATGATCAGAATATGAAGCCAGGTAAACACTAAGAAGAAGGAAGGCAAAAAAGCTTACTACTGTTGTAGTGGAAAGTTTGGTGGTTACCATTTATTTAATGGTGTTGACAGTCCAAATCAATCCATATAATTTTTTACTCTACAAATATGTTAAGCAAAATGCAAAAACAACAAGAGAAAACAACAAGAAACATTTGTGATAAGAGATAAAAGGAAAAATATTTGATTAACAAGTAATTTTCAATATATTTTTGTAATGAAAATATTTTACAAAAATGTAATGGATTTTTTTAGGTGAAATCATATTAGTTTAATTTATGTTGAACTCAAGTTTGGTGAAAGATTAAATTTTGTTAATGAGTTCTGATTTGAAAGGATGTTTATTAGAATCTGTTATTGAAGATTTTGTAAATTAATTGCAAGAGAAAATTTTACATTTAAGAATTTACTGTTCATATAAGTAGTAAATGTTTGTAAAGTTGAATACAATTTTGTGATCAAAGAAGTTATCTACCATTGATTGTTTTGTGTAATACAATGTTCTCGAATGTTGAGAAATAAAGTTGATTTATTAGCAGTAATTTGTTTAACTTCTGCATAAGGAATTTGGTGAGTGAATGGAGATAGCGTTCACTGGTGAGTTTTGGTGAATGAGTGTGAATATCGTTAAACTTAAGAATGTGTGACGTGAAGTTTAGTTGCAATTTGTTTGATGTCACGATGCTCACTGGTGAGTGTGAATGAGTTTCTGTTTTTATTTGCTTCGGGTGGCTCACAGAGACTTGGCACAAACTTGGATTTCAGTCATGAGCTGTAAAAATTAGTTAACTGTGGGTAGATAGTCACGCCTACTTGTATATGTATTAACCAATGAGAGCTCAAGATTTTTTTGAAAGTGTATGAAGTTGAAAGTGTTCTGTGATCTATTTTTTGCACAGATTATTTTTGGGCATTGGGTAATGTAGAATTTGAATTCTACACTGTCACCATTTACTTAAATTATTTTCATATTTTAATTTAATCAAGCCAAGGGGAATTTGTTCTTTTTTACAATTTAACTGAGGAGGTGGGTATCTGAGCCTAATAATGGTTCTGTATGTTTTTGTTTATGAAATATCAAGTAAGTAGAAATTTTTTGCAACATGCTGACAAGTGTTGAAATCTTCATAATATTTAGTATTGTTGAAATTATTGCCAACATTTTTTGTTGAGATTTACAAACACTGAATTTGAATAAGCTGATTTGTTTGGAAAATACTTTGACAAAAACCCTACTTCACAGTTTAATAATGTCTTTAATTTTATAGGACTTCTTGGTAAACAATATTTTTTAAGAAAATTTCTATTTTTCCTTTTTCTTAGGAATTCTTACTCTTGAGCTTGCAATATACAACTAACCATGCATAAGTATTTCTTTCTAGAGCCAAATTCCAACTTTTTAAAGTGTTTGGTTTTGTGATTTGTTCTCACAAATACAGGGTGAACTGAAAACTGGATTCTTGTATATATAAAAACTTAAAGAAAAGATATGCAAAAAGTAATATTAAATTTTTATTAAATAAATATTTGTTAATTAATCATTAAATTGTTTTTAAAATAGTGGGGGTAATTTGTATGTTGAATAATAAAACTTTTTATGTAAAAAAAAAAAAAAAAACATGAATGAAAATTTATTGTACTAAGCTATGCATTCTAGTAAAAACCAACTGTAATTTGTACCCCCTTACCTGTTTGCACTTCTCCCTAAAATTTGGTTTCAATTGGTCAATGTATGGCTATTTTATATAGCTAGATAGATACTTACATAAACATCAGTTTATATAACTATATCCATCAGATAAGATATTGTAAAAATATTGAAACAATACAGGATTAATATATGATTTTAGAATGAGTGTCAGGTACTTTACATACAAGCAAGTAGAAGAAAAAGTTTAAAAAGAATAATCAATCCCAAAGTGTTTGATATGATGACTAGTATTTTTGTAATGTAATCCTCCTTGTGTATTTGACTGAACTGTCAATTATTTTGACATTTTCTATTATTCAAAAAAATCTAACCAATCATTATGAATTTATTCAAATGAGACCAAATCAAAATGAATTTCTATTGGATATTTATAATCAATAACTAAACTATATAAGTGTGATGTTCTTTTAGTTGGAAGTTTTATGCTGAAAATAACCATTTATTCAATTTGTGCAACAGAATTCCTTTTGTCTTATTCATTAAGTGACTGTAAAGATTAATTTTCCACTTTCTTTTAACTAATGGGCATAAGTATGTAGTACAATAGCATATTTAGTTTAGATACGCGCATGAAAAAAGCTCATATAGCTTACATATTCTGAGCTACGTTGGGTAGCACTTGAAGCTAGCAGGGGGAGACATAGCCCTTTTTTTCTTTAGGGGTGTGTGAACATACCTTGTTTAGAAAGCAGAACAAAGACTAGCAACCCCGATATGACGAGGTTTTCACTCCACATGGCTTACTTCCCTACAATACCGGAGAGCTTAATTCTGCTAAAAAAAACAAATGTTTTTGATCTTCCAGACTACTTTAAATCTAAAGATGTAAAAGTTTTTTTTTTCTTTTTTTTAAAATTGTGTACTTTATTTCTACAAATAAAGTAAATTACAATTTCACACTTAGAACGGCCGGCCGTTGAAAAAAAAAAAAAGTTCGAAAATTAGTGACTCTACTACAAATGTTTAAAAATAGCTTTCAGCTTTAGGCCCTAAGGGGTTAAAAATTATGTGCTAGTTTTACTACTGTTTTCGAAAATGATGGTGTAAAAAAAAAAAAATAAATAAATAACTAAATAAATTAAAATGTTCGATGTTTTTTTTATTTTTATTGTATTGCCTCTATTGATTTTCTTTTACTTTAAGTATTTTTAAAAGAGAATGCTTGTCTTCATTAATAAATAAATTCACTTTACTTTCTTTAAGGAAGCGACCTTTTTAAATAAGAAACATTTTTTTGATTTTTCTGATTTGAAATTTTTTAGGAGCATCATGGTCGATCAGTTGATTTTTTTTTTTTATAAATTCTTTGGACAAATTTCTTTCTTTATTTTCTTCTTAACTAGTAAAATTTTCTGTTTTTTTTTTTTTTTTTTTGTTTTTTTTTTTTCTGCGAATATCTTGCTTAGCTTAACGTTCCTACAACCTGCTAGTTTTGTTTGCTCATGTGAGTGTCTTTTATGCGCATTATTTTGAAAGCTAACTTTGTTTGTTAACACAGATAGCAAATTAATGTTGCCAAATATCCCAAAATTCGTAGAGTGTTAGAAGGGGGGAATATAATACATTTAATTACATTTTATTTACACTTTTTTTTTGCTTGGAAGACAGACACGGATAAGGAAATCGTGAACAACATAGTTTGTTTAGGGGGCCGTTAATGACGTCAGAGACACGTGGTCTAGTTGCTATATAAATTCAAGAGACGCTAGGCCGTCGCCATTTTGAAGGCTGAGGCGAAAAGCCTCTTCAGCTGGTGTAGCATTGTGCTAGTTGTTTATAAAATAAGTCTATTTGCTTCCTTACACAGCCCGTTTGACCCAAAATCAGTTCTCTGCTAGTCTCAGCGTCAACGTAATCCCCCACATGCGGGGGTAAATGACGTTTTTGAAAGTTGCTTTCGCTGTAATTTATACAAAAAGATATCAATTCCTTTTCACTTCAATTGATATTACCTCACCATAAGGGAAAATATTTGACTACGTGTCTAGCCGTTTAAAAATACGCAATTCATAAAAAAAAACAGCATAAATTTTTTAGATTCTATTTTTGAAGCAGATTTTTCTTCTCGAGTTTCTAACAAAAGTTGTACCAGCTTGGACCAAGTGATTTCTTGAATTTTACAAGGCTAGAGAAACAAAAGAAAATCTGTATTTTTAATGGCGCTGTGTGATATTCTAACAAAAACCAAAGGAAGGCTATGACATATTGATACTAACAGCATCGTCACAATTTTGCATCTGCTTCTACAAATATTCGTTTTAGTAGTAGCTGCACTGCTATTTTTTTTTAATACCCATTTAAAACCGAGTCGCTGTTCTAATTAAAACCGTTTAATTCCAACGAACAACTCGGACAAGTTTGTTTCGTATTGTCGGTTCATTTCTTTTTGAACATCAGTGGAGGTTGAAATCGCCTCAAAATCATTTAAAAAAAATGTCGTCTGTGCACTATAAATTCAAAAGCTGTTTACAGTACGATACGGTAACCTTTGACGGTCTTCATATTTCTCTCATTGACTTAAAAAAGGCCATCATTCAACAGAAAAAGTTGGGCAAGTCGACGGAGTTTGACCTGCAAATAACCAATGCTCAAAGCAAGCAACGTAAGTAGATTTTAAATTATTTCTACTTATTGTTATTTTGATTTTTTTTTTTTTTTTTTTTTAAATAAAAACTGTAAAACTCGATTGAATCAGTTTTGTAAACAATCCTAAGTTCATAATTTATCAGTTTGATTTTATCAATAGATCTTTCTTGCATACGGAATTCTTTTATTTGGATTAACATCGAAATTAAAGCCAATTTTTCTCTTTGAAAATGTTTTTTTAATTCGTAATTATTAACAATTCTTAATTAAATATACTGTTTATTGCTTTAGTAATTCATCTACAAAGTTTAAAAATAATTAAGGTTTTGCTTTTTTTATTTTAAATTGTCCGAAACTAGTGTTTTTTTTTTTTTTCTCTCAACATTTTTCTGTACTTATGATAAATTAATGTTTTAATATTTTAATTCAGGTTATTTTGTAAAGTTACGGATTTCTTGGAAAAGTAAACCCTTTTCATTTGAAAATAATTAAACATTTTCTTTTTTAACTTGTTTATTTCATCTGTTCTTTATCTTTTAACATACGTCGTACTTTCAAAATGTAAAATAAATTAAACAAAGATGTTACCCAATGTCTGATGTAGAAGTACCATCAGAGAAAGTCAATATTTTAAAAACATCTTTCAGTTTCGCATTGTTAGCACTTAGTGTAAAAATGTATTTGAAAAAGAAAAAAAAAAAAACGAGGAAGCTTTTTTCTTTTTCCGTTTTGACTGAAATTGAAATCGGTTGAATGAATAGTTCCTTTTTTTTAAAATTCCGCATTTTTCTTGTGATGATATTTTTATAAAAAAGCCTTTCATATATCCACCAATTTTATTACAACATCCCTTTCAATCAGTTTTTTATTAAATATTTTTTAACTGAAATTTTGAATTATCACTTTTCATCGGCGGGGCTGCTTTTTTCTTGATTACCAAGTTTCATGAATTTAGAGAAAAAAAAGCCACGTGATAAAATAGTTACAATGTTACGTTGCTGTAAACTCGAATAAATTATTCAATTTTCCAGTTTCTTATAAAACTGGTTATAAAACCAATGTGGTACCCGTCGATGGGATTTCTGAAATGCTTTTTTTTTCCCCAAATTCTGACTCTCCCATCCACAGCTTTTTTTCTTCCATAAAAATGTTTTTTTTTCTTTTCGAAGAGTTTCAAATTTCAATTAATACTTCCTTTAAAAAATATAATTCATTCAGTTCAAGTAATCGGCTGCTCAGTTAAGACTTAATTTGAAAAAAAAATATTGACAGCAAATATAACTGTTCTTTATAGCTAGGTTTTATTCTGTCACTTTGTTTAAAAGTGGTGATTTAAAAATTACGAGAATTGGGAAAAATTTGAGGACGGAGGTGTAATCGTTTTCCCGTTCAGGTCGGCCTTTCGAATCGCTGCAGTTAATCGTAAATTTGTTTTTAATGTAACCGTTAACATACCCCTCTCCCCCTGAAATGACACGTGTTTTATGGTAAGGTAATGGGAAAATTAAGGGTCCTACGGGTGTTGGTGAGGGAAGAATAGTATGAATGTGTTAGGAAAGTCGTTGCTTTTCTTTCTTTCTTAAACTAAACTAAATTTTTTTTTTCTCGAATAATAATAAACGTGGATAGTGTTTTCGAAGTTCATAAATCTTTTGGAGAGGATAATGGCACAAGTTCCTTTCCCTTTTAAAACACAACCCAAAAAGCTAACCGTAAAAAAATTCCTCGTGTCATCAATTCCTTCCTTTTTTTTTATACTTGTGGCATAAAATCATTAATCAATTTTTTTTTCTATTCATGTAGAAATGTGAACTTCAAACCTAATATGGAATTTGTTGAATGACCAATATGAAGTGGTTTCGCTTTGATTAGCTTTTTTCTTTTTTTTATTATTATTGCTACTTATCTTAGATTGTAAGATTTTTTTTTTTTGTAATTTTTTGTTTATAAGCTTTTTCTTGGTAAATATTTTTCTTTTTCTTTTAAGAAAATTGCCTTTTTGCTGTTCAAACACCATCTGTATAGTTTGAAAATATTTTTTGATAATTGATAACATTCTTGTGGTTGGTAATTTTACGGTAAGTTAGAATTCTGAAGTTAATAAAATTGTGTACAAAATAGGTGGTTTAAGTTTTATTTTTTTTTAACGTTTCAAGCAATTGAAAACTATTTTTCAACATACCAAATACGAAACTTTATTCAACATTTGTGATAGAAATTTCGCTATCCACTGTTATTTTTGGATGCTCACCATTTCAAACCCAGAACCTAATCTGTTTGTAATGCAAATATATCAATTTTTTCTGTTTTTCAGAACGTTTGAAACGCTAAATTTAGCAATACACCCCCTCGCTGTTAACCAGCAAATGTAAAGAAAGAGTATTTTCTGGGTCTGACTAATACAAGGCATAAAGAGCAATTGGATTAATTTGGGTTGAGAAATTGTTTTCTAGGGCTTATGTAAATTAAGGACTCACTCGGAAATTAGCATATTGATTATGCATTTCATTTATGTATAAAATTTATTTTAAAAAAATGTTTACAATCTTTTTTAAGGGTATATCTATGAGGAGGATCTGATCCCAAAGAATGCATCTGTTATTGTAACGAGAGTTCCCATAACTGAACCACAGAGACCACAACCCAGATCGTGGTGAGTATATAAGGAAATCAATGAGTCTAATGATAATGAAGAAAAAAATGCTTTTAATATTTGTTCTTTTCTTGTAAGTGCCATTCAGTAGTAGATGAACATTATTTCAGAAAAAAATTCAGTTAATCACTATCGAGCTTTGTACAATGATCTACTCTTATAGATTTGATTTTTAAAATTTAAAGTTTCAGATTTTCTCAGAAGGCATCTTTATAAAAACTGCTGTGAACTCAAAGGCAGCTGATAATAATACTACTTTAAGCAAAAATAGATTTTAAGATTGGTGTATCGAAACGTCATTTTGAACCACTTTTCAAATATCTATTTTGAATATACAGTGTCCCCTGTATTCACAGTGGGTAGGGACCAGAACTAGCCGCAAATAGATTCCACGAATACTTAAAACCCCATATGCCTTCTAAACACATTTCAGACCCTTTTTAAAACATTTTTGGAAAATAGTTTTGGTGACTATACACTTAGCATAAATTTTCTTTCAAACTTACAAAAACTGTTTTTAATTATGCATAGATCAATACAATCATTGAAAATGCAGTGTAAAGTATGTAAGAAGAACTGTGATGATGCCCCCCAGACTTAACATAAGCCACTTTTAAGACCCCCAGAAAGAACAAAGCCCAACAAGCACTATGGATGATTTGTGTTCATTTTCTTACAATGAAGATGTACAATTCTGCCAGTTTTTACCATAAAAATGTAAATAATTTGTACATATGTTCTTCAGAAAAAGCATTTGGGGTTTCTACAGATAAGTACATATGTTCTAAAGAAAAATCCACGAATGCTGAAACATGGGCATGGGTTCACTGTACCCCATTACTAGATCAGACTTCTCAAAACTGTTTATATATATAATATATATATTAACCTAAGACATGGGGCGGACAAAAAGACAAAACTTGCCTTGAATTTGTAAAATTTGTGCATTTTTATTTGAAAAAAAGTAATATTAATGTTTTTAAAAAAATGATTAAAATAGGCAAAAAGTTTTAAGGTCAAATATTTTGACAAAATACCATAAATTATGATAACTAGAATTATTAGCAATGATACATTGCAGTCGAACATTTCCAAAAAAGAAATTAAACATTACAACATTATAGGCTTAGAATAGGTATCTCCACTTTTTTTTCACAAAAAACAGTATAGGATAATGAAAGGCCACAAATTTAATAAAAATAAAGTTTTATTGTTAAAATATTTATGAAGATGAAAGAACAAAGTTTTGTTCCTTTCTAACACGTTCAAAATTTTGGTAAAAATCTTGTTTTGTTTACATCATTGGGGTGGCATAATAATTACATTGACTTATTTTGTGCTTTTTTTTTTTTCATTGAAACATTGATTTGGAAATTCTTATTAAAAAAAAAAAAATCAAATAATTGCCCAATTTTAATGAAATTTTTGGGACTTATTCGCAAATGAATGAAATTTGTTTTGTTTTTAATGTGTTACCCTCCATTTACTTAAAGAAATTTTGCAGAATACCTATTTCCTGAATTTTTTTTTTTTTTTTTAAAAGTAGGAGTCATTGAAGAATGTAAATCACCCTTTCACTATTCTAACTGAAAATCTGTTCTGAATTGAAAAATAAGTGCAATTATTTAATTAGAAGGGGCTTTTAATTGCTTTTGTAAATAAGTTACATTAAAGACACTATTGTCTGAAGAAATAAAATGAATATTGAATTTTTATGAGCATTTTTTTTATTTTTTTTTATTATAATTTATAATAGCTCAAAAATAGTTTAAAGTTCTGTAATTGCACTATTTACTGGATGTGATATTGTAATTAAGTGGAAACGAAATTTATGAATACAATTGAAAAAATTACTTCTATTTACTATTCAATTTTTAAAATAATTTTTTTCACTTTAATTGCTCCCTTGTTTTTTTTTTGTTTTTTTTTTTCTTCTATGATAGCCTAAACATGTCATTATTATGAAAAGGTAACATGCTTGGATTGAAGAAGATAGAAATTTTTAGATAATGTTAATTAAATTTATTAACTATTAATGATTAAACAATATTTTAATTATAAAAAATCCGTATCACTGTTAATTTTGTTGCTTACTTATCTTTTTTTAATTTCATCTTATTAAATTTTAAAATTAATTTGCGGAAATTTTATAGTACTTCAAATTTTTTTATTTTTTCATAAAACATCAAAAAACATAAGTATTGCTGTTTATAGAATTAAATTTATTGTTACTATGTAATGTATGTGTGTATATATGTTCATTTCATGTAGACATAAGTCTTGCAAGATTTAAATAAACTTGTAACAGTTGTTGAAATTTCCTTTCATCTGCTTTGAAAATATATCTGCACAGAAATTTTTTTCTTAGAAAATTCCCACAACCACCTTATTAAGAAACGGGTAACATTTTCATTCTTAATAATAAAGAAGATTTTTTTTTTAAGTTTGAAGGCAAAAATTGCCATGGATTGCATTAAATACGGGCATTGTGGCATTTTGCTGTGGTTCTGCAGTCTAAATTCCTCCATCTCATATATATGTATGTGTATATGTATGTATGTATATGTATTTTTCAAGAAAAAATTTACTGTTTTAGTTGAAAATCTGAATGCATTATTCATAATGAATTTCAAAACCAAATTTTTCTATTTCAGGCCTCATTATCGGAATGATGAGTACAGAAAAAGTGTATGTACTTTTTAATTTTATTTAATTTTTATTTTTTTATTTTTTTCAACCAATGTTTTTGACTGATGCTCAGATTCCATTCCCTATCAACAAAGATCAAAAGTTATTTGGTCATAATATGTAACCATTATATGGTGTATTTTAGTTGTTTGGATAAGTTTCAATGAACCATAAATGTAATTTTATTTTGTATCAAAATGTGACTTTGCCAATCAAATTTTTTCTTTTAATTTATTTAAGCGCTGTGAAATTAACTTTTAGCATTTTAATTATATTTAAACAAGAACCTTTAACATATGTATATACCCCTACTTAGATATATGTGGCTTTCTTTCAGACAATTTTCTTTCAGGAAATTTGTAAAAAAAAAAAAAAAAATAATGCATGAAAATGTTTGAAGAGTTTTTTTTTTTTTTTTTTTTTTTTTTTTTAATTAAACTTTATTCATTCATTTTGTAAACAGTTTAATTGGATTAGCTAACCTTGCTAATAGTGATTTTAATGGCATTGTTTTTTTTAATGGTTCTACTTATTTTAAAACTTTTGTAAATACTTTTTATAAAATAGTCATAAAATTGTGTTTATCTCTTTTAAAAATAAGTAGTTAAAGCATAACTTCTTTTAGCCAAATTACCTGTTCAGAACCTGAAATATTACTACATTTATGGATTTCAATTTAATTTTTAGTTTAGTTTCAGTTGAAAAATCCCCAAAATCCTGTTTTCCTTAACTCTGTTTTTAATTTTGTAATTAACAAAAATATTCATGAGTACCTTGTAACTTTTCATGAAGATTTTTTGTTTTTCAAAGGTCATATATTAAAATTTGAATTTTACTTAAGATTTTTGTCTCTTTGTGAGCATACTACAAAAACTATTTGCCATGCAACAATGCTCCTATTATGCTAAAGATATTAAACAGTAATATGTAATTGGAGATAAAAACTAGGTCCAATATGCTCAAATTAATTTTGAGCATGACTATATAAATATTGTAACAGGTTATGCTAGAATTTAAAAAAAAAAAATTACAAATCTTTGAGTCTTTTAATTTGTAATCATAAGGAGTTAAAGAAACAAAGGTTCTTAACTTTCTTATAGATTAAATAAAACATGTTTGATTGCTTTGAAATTTAATTTATGTATATATTGGCCAGAGCAGATCTGCTCTTAAAAAGTACTGAAATGCTTTTAACAGAACAATACTGCATTTTGTACATATTTACATTATACTTTTTCTATCTATAAACTGAATATTTTGGTAAAACAAGATAGATATCTGTATGTCCATAAAATGCACATTTAAGAATTCAATAAATGTTGAGAGTAATTAAACAAAGACATATTATAAAGTTAGGATTTTAAAAATGTACTAAAGAACGTACACCGTGATAGTTAATGGCATTAATTTGCAATGATTTCCATATATACTAATTCAACAAGTACTTTCTTGTGCTGTATGTAGTAAATTTTTGACCTTCATAAGTGCTACAGAATCACTATTAAAAATTCAAATGTCAAAAATGTGATAATTTCAATAATATATTTAAAAAAAACAAAAAAAAACAGCTATTAATGAAATTTAGGACTTTCAGAAAGATTTTATTTTTATTTTTTTGCAATTTAAAATACTTGTTGCATAAATTGTAAACAAGGACTTTATATACAATGAGTAAAACAAACATTTTTGGATACTAAATTTTAACAAAAAATATATGCAGAAATTATATATATATATATATATATATATATATATATATATATATATATATATATATATATAAATATATATATATATAATGAAATTAATTCCCTAATGAGATTATGTAATGAGTGTGTATGTGTATATATATATATATATATATATATATATATATATATAATGTGTGTGTGATGCAGTTGTTTCACTCAGTTCTATTAGCATTAGCCATTTTGGCCATGGCAAATATTAGATTTCCTCTTCAGTAATGTTAAGCAAGGTGTTGTATCTTTCCAATTGAACTGTCAAAATGTGTTGCCTTATTTTTGTGTGTTGGTTTTAATGTCACATGATCATTTGTCAGATATCTAAAATCTATTACATCTATTGTGTGTTGCTCAAACTTCAAATTACCTTATTTCAGTTTTCAAATCATTAAACTTTCACACATTAGAGTATCTATTTATTAAAAATACTACAAGGACTCTGGAACAGAAATCTGTTCAGATTTAGTTGTAGCTAAAATTCGTGTCTGGTCTGTTTTCCATACAACAAGCATTTAGTTTTCATGATTGTTGATTTATTAAAAAATAAAAATAAAAAAAATCTAATGTAACCAATATATTATCAAAGTTTTTCCCATGTTAATTTTTCAAAGAAACTAATTCCTCATCCAATGAGGAAATTGTTGGTTACTGAGCCAACATTTTCATAATTAAATCCACGTATTTTGTATACTTTTCATTTTTGAATAAAAAACATTTTTTCTGATGTTGTCTTGTTTTTTTTTTTTTTTTTTTTTTTTTTTTCCCAACGCTTCTATTTGTCTTATTTGAATTGTTATACTACACATATTGATTGACATGTTTTCTGATCTTTGCGTGGGATAAATTGGAAAGATATTTTCACCTGAAGATTATGTCAACAATTTGATCAATGTGAAATTTTGTGTGTAACACTTCAAATATTCTTTGTTTTCATTGTAATGTGTTCACAAAATGAAGAATTTAAATCTTAAAGGATGTAGCATCTCATTTTTGGTGGCACACACTTGGTTTTATTCTGCTATAGGATTTTTTTTTTTTTTTTTTTTTTTTTTAAGAAAGAGGCATGGATTGTTTTTAAAAAAAAAAAAAGAGAATATTATATTCCCTATCACATTTTATATTTGTACACAAACATTATATAGTAACTTTAAATCAGATATTTATATAAATTAATTTTTCTGCCTTCTAAATTAGAGATGCTTAGCCAGTTGCAAGTGATATGTACCAATTGTTTCATGTTTTCAATTTTCTACTTGTAAATGGGCTTGTTGGGCCCTAATTGTAGCTATGGAAGATTTATTGGATTTCTTTTAAAGATATTCACTAGTTAATCTTAGTTGCAATAGGTCTAAACTAATAAAATTGGTCTTTCTAAATGAAGTTCAACTGAATCAGCTTCATAACATGCCTTAATTGTAAAATAAAATATTTTTCATGAGTACAAAATTTGTTTCTCTGGTTATCTATCAGAAATGAACAGCATGTTTGTGTATAGATGCATGTTGGTTCAATGGTCCTGCTTGTGGGCTATGGCTACAGTTAAATTCTTTTTATTATTTAGGCCAATGTATTTGGTCAATTATGTATTTTTTTTATCTCATTGAATGCAACTTTTTTTAAAATTTGATATTGTTAAATATCAAGTGGACTTGATGATTGTATTAGTACATCTCTTTCCAATCCTTTAACACGGTTGACTAATGTTATGTAATTCTTATATAAACAAACTAAAAATGTTTACATTTTGCTAACTGTAGTCAGTATATTCAAATTGAATCTTTTGAATTTGTGAATTTTCCCAATTATATTAATGATTTAACAGTATTTTTAATTAAAGCTAAATATTTGACACTGTATAAAGAATTTTAGTAGTTAAATGTTTAGAGCATTATTTTAAAATTATGCTCTTTCTGGTGAAAGTCTTTTTTTTTCTTTTCCTTAAAAGAAACAAAAAATACATGTTACAGTGATTACCTTTTTTATTTTAATTAAATATAATTTAAATTATAACTTCAGCATATTCTTTCAAGATAGTGAAACTTGTTTATTTTTATAATTACTTGGTCTTTTTCTTGAAGCAGTTTTTATTTTGATGTTTATTTTTATCTTTGTAAAGGCAACACATTTTTTACTACTGTTGTGATTTTTATGATTGCATGAATAATATTCAATTGTAGTCATCGGTATAGCTCATTTATTTTAAATGAAAGTTACTTATACAGCAGAATTCTTTAAAAAAAAAAAAAAAAAAATGAGAGTTAGATTTTTATACTTATTTTCAGTGTAAATTCTGCTCTTATTAACATGTTAAAATTTCTATGGCACATTGTGTATTTAGATCTCTTGCTCTTTACATTGCTTGCTGTGTATCCAGCATTTATTGTTTTGCAATATTTTTGTAACTCCATAGAAATAAAGTCATTCTTCAACACTTACCAAAGTGCGGGAGCTTTTGCCATGTTTAAGCGTACTAGTCATGGTTTATTTCAATGGTAAAAAGCATTTTAGATTACTTATTTGGGAATCTATATCCTTACAGAAATATGCTTTTATGTGCTCTAAGCCATTATTGCTTTTTAAACATTCCTCTCAATATCCCACAAATCTTTGGCGGTTTATTCTCAACCTCTTAATACTTTGATTCCGTTTAATAGCTAAGCTTATTTCCTAATGAAAGCTTGTTCAGTTGACTTAGTTATAAATTTAATTTTTATTTTATTTTTTTATAGAATTTCTACAATTTGATGGCTGACATTACAATTATAATTAGTGTCCTTTTTTTTCTCTTGATAAAATGGTTGTGCTGTTTGCTAATAAGCTTGTAAATGTAACAATATGTTTAGATTACTGAAAAATAAATCTTCCAAGATTCTATTCAGCAGATTTTTCATTTGCTTTCTTTTTAAAGCTTATTAAATACAAAACTTGGTGGAAATCATAAGTATTCAGAGAGTTTGATCTCTGAAAATCTTGAATATTAATCTATTTAAATTTCATAATTTAAAAATTTATAGGACCATTATCAATAAACCATGACTATCATTGTTGGTATGCTCGTGAGTGTGTTTTATTTCATTTTTTTTTTTTTTTTTTTTTTTTAATTCATCCTGCTTGCTGAGATTCCAGTTCCATCCAGTCACCTTGCCTGATTTAGTCAGATGGTTTAATTTCGTTTGAAAGAGAAGAAACATGCATACACACACACACACACACACACACTAATGAAATATTTTGGTGTGGACCTGAAAAGAAAATGCCTTCAGTTCATCAATGAAGTTTAGTCATAAAATCCATGTGCTTCTCAGCACCACTTTATACTATATAAGCATATTTATTTTATGCTTAAATTTTGTTTTGCTGCATAGACAATATATTAAGATTGGATATTTATTTAAAAATATAAGCCTGAATAATAAAGGACAATCAATTTTGATTTATTTTTTTTATTTTTTAAAGCAATATTTTAGTTGATAATGTAACTGAATACTTTGAAGTGTTTTGTTGGTAAGGCAGTATACTAGACAACTTAAAATATCTTTTGATTCATTTCACTTATCGTTAAAAACATTTGATAAGCTTCAGTTTTTCTTGTGTTTTTCTCCACTTTTTAAATAATTACAAAAATAGTCCTGTGCATTATTTTATTTATTACTTTTTAGCAATAGATCTGTCACGAACCAAACCTTTTGAAACTTAGTAAAACCTCCTGACTATTGATTTGATAATATCTGGCAGGTGAAATAATTAATAAAGTGCTTATTTTCTTTTTTTGCAACTGCTACAATTATATATATATATATATATATATATATATATAAATAAATAAATTGTAGCCATTATCCAGATTTTACATGATTGCTGTAGAAACTTAGCCTCTTCTCACTTAATAGTGAGACTTCATGGAAAAATCATCTTTAAATTTTGGTTCAAGTCAAACACTACTGTTTTTAGTTAACTATTTATTCTTAAGATCTAATTTATTCTAGTTAATGCCTTACCAACAAAACTGGGCAACATGGAGAAAGTTTCATGGACTTTAATTATTTAGATCTAGTAACCTTAAGGACTGACTGACGAGGAGCAAATTTACAAGAGGAAGCGAAAACACAACTATACATTTTAAATCTCGGTATTTACAGTCTTTAACAACATGACTTTTTTTTTCATAGATCTGCTAATCATGTTGGTTTATATTGTCATGTCTTGTTTTAATATGGTCTCAAGCTAAACTGTTACTTTTGCTTCTTAAGCTGACGAATGGGGTGTGTGCGCGCCTTCCGGAGTCAGAGCAGCTTAACTCACCAATCAATGTCTTCAGTATATCCTTTTCTCAACAACGAGTGGTTTAAACATTGGCAGGGAGATCAAGAGAAGGGGAAAAAAAATAACGGATGCAGAACTTCAACCTTTGTACATTTTTTTTTTTTTTTTTTTATATTCCCCCATTTTCTCCTTTTATCCTTTTTACAAAGTATATACTTGATACAGAGCTATCAAATTTGTTAAATTATAATGTTTTAAAATTGGCTTTGATTTAATTTGTGTTAAAACTTTAAAAACACTGTCCAATTTTGTTTTAATAGAACTTTTTTTTCTTTATACTTTTCATTTTCTGTTACACTGTAAATACAGATTTAAAAAATTTTCTATTTAAAAAAAAAAAAAAAAAAAAAAAAAATTTAAATTTGGCTTTCATTTTGTTTAGAATTTCTCCCACCCATGGCCCTTCAGATTTATACTCAAGATATTTTAAATAATCTTGCTGTTCACTTCAAGTGAGCATGTTACACCACTTTGTCCTCTTAATAATATAAATTTGCTTTTCTGTTTATAGCCGGATACACAGGACTTTGCTCATGATAGACTCAGCCAGGTAAGTCCCTGCTTTTTAAAATCCTATATTACTACTGTTCAGTAGTTAGTTTTTATGTTGAAGGTATAACCCAACAAGTCCTTCCTTGCTCAAATTCTGTGGATTTTGCTGAGGACCTTTTTAGCATTTGCTTGTATATACATTTAAAAATGAATTGTCACAAGTGACTAATAGGGATGAGGGTGGGAGGGTTCAGGTTTTAAAAGAAATGGTAATTGGTAATCAGTTATAAAATGCTTTTATCCCCTCCTCCAAAGCTAATATGTGAACTTTTTTTTTTTCTTTTTAATTTATAAAATATTTATATTTACAGACTCCTGATTTAGCTAATGCAGATGCATCTGAGGACGACAAAATAAAAGCTATGATGGTACAATCAAAGTTCTTTGATCCATCAAAGTAAGTGAAATCTTTTAATTATAATTTTAAACTTTTCAGTGATTTCTATTTTTTTTTTTTTTTTTTTTTTTTTTCCCCTCTAAATATTTTTTTTTCTCTTCTCTGACACTCTTTGTTTAGCAGTTTTGGCAAAGGCAAAACACAGACTGGAACCCCACCTGTTGGATATGTTTGTTATAAATGTGGTAAACCAGGGCATTATATATATTCCTGTTCTTTAAAAGGCGTAAGTATAAAATTACAAATTCACAAATGTTCTTTTTAACTGTACTTGCAATCAATTTTGAATTTGTATTACTAAATTGGTTGTTAAAACTACTTGGTAATTTTTTTTTTAATTTTTTTTTCTCTTGATAATTGTATAGCTTATCAGCTTTTTAAAATCTTCAATTAACTTACACTTTAAAATTGTTAATTTCTTTAGGATGCCAATATGGTTGATATGAAGATCAAGAGAAGTACTGGAATTCCTCAAAGTTTCCTTACCTTAGTTGATAGTCCTGACCACCCGGGTGCACTTTTGACGCAATCTGGTCACTTTGCTGTACCTACAATTGATGCGTAAGTTTGTTCTTTAGCTCAGATAAAAAATTGTAGCTACTAATATTTGTTTAAATTTTGTGAAGTTTATTTTTAATTTTGTGCTCTAATTTTCTTGAAACATTTCAGTATTGCATACAAACAAGGCAAGAAGGAAAGGCCTCCATTTCTCCCTGATCCAAATCCTGTGAATACAGTTTCAGCTCCTCCTGCACCAAATGAGCTGCTCTGTTCTTTGTGTGGTGAACTGCTAACAGATGCTGTTGTTATACCTTGCTGTGGAAACAGTTTCTGTGATGAGTGTAAGTTTCTGAATGTTGCTTTTACCATTTTAAGGTTTTGCTTATTCAGTTTACATTTAGTTCATTTGGGCAATCTAACTTTATTGAACTCATTTTTCATAGCATAAATATGGCAGATGTGTGGCTGGTGTAAGGAATAGTGGCCCCAGAATGAGGAATTGGTGATCTTTTAAATGATCTTGGGTGGAAAAGTGTGAATCATCTCCTTTCCCTTGTTATAGGTTAAATAGTATGAATTGTATCTGGAAAAATCATCATCCCAGCCCCCCAAAAAATTACAATCCAAAATTTTTATTTTAAAAAAAAAAAAAAAGTGTGTAAAATATATATATATATATATATATATATATATATATCTTTTAAAACATTTTTTTTTTTTTTTTTTTTTTTTAAGGAAAATGTGGTATTTATCACTCTGGAAATTATGCAAATATTACATTGCATCCAATGTGCTTTTTATTAATTACAAATACGTATACCAAACTGCTCTAGTTTACAGTGTGAACATGTCAAAATAGTGAAATACCCTTCCATTTTGATTGCAAATATCTCACTTGCTTCACTGTTGATCAATCTCAAATATGCTCAAGCACAACCAGACTACAGCTTGGCTGCAAGCAAAATCTGTAATCGGTTCTTGGCATTTAAAAAAAAAAAAAAAAAAAAAAAAAAAACATGCGGAACCTCTGTGACAAAGACAACAAATACTTCTGAAAATTCATACAGGAAAGGATTGCTAAAAATCAGAGGCAAAAGAAAGAGTGCCAAGCATGGTAGTCCTGTGAAGTCTATTAAAGATATATGATAAACAGTGGTTTGGATGCACTGAAAGATCAACACTAGTGGAAGTAAATCTCAGCTGGAATTTGCAGCTAATTAATGACAGGAAAATCAGTTGATTCGTCTCCGCAAAATACAAAAGGAAAAAAGAAAAGGCGCCCAATGATTCTGAGTATTTAAACTACTATACTGGTTGTGACACACCTCAGTTGCAGAACAACCATTCACAATGTTCAAATCTTTTCCATCAGGTTAAAACTGAAGACATTTAAAGCACTATTATGAAATATATTTGTTTTCTTTTGTAGTAATTAGTGTCCTGTTTTTGAAGAGTAGAAAATTACATAATTTCATATAATTCTGTTATGCTGTGACGCACAACAGAGAATTGTATGAAATTACATAATATATGTATAGGAAAAGTTGCAAGACCTTAACTGTTGAAATGAAACTTATATTATCAGTCAAATCTGCCCTTCTGTGTCATGTTTTGATGATTCTGCTTGTGAACAAAATTTTCCCAATGTTTAGGCTGCTGTGATGTAAGAATTATTTAGTCCATTGGCATTATATTTCTTTTACTTCAAGACTATATGGCATTACATTTATGACTTTGAAGTCTACATCTTCAGTTATCCACTGTTAAAATTGGCCTCTTGTCCAATAGCACATGAACTAAAATTTTTATGAATTTTTAATTGTCATAATACATTTATGCTAATTGAGTTACAAAGATAAATTTGGTAACATTTTTTTATGGTGTCAAAATCTGTCTATTAAAGATTATTAGTTATATTGAAAATAAAATTTTAGTTTGGGATAGATATTATAAAATTTTGAACTTGAAGTTTCAATTTCTCCAAATTTACTTGTTTTATATTTTATATAATTTCGTGCTTGCCATTTTATACAATTGATAATTTGTCTCTTTTATTAAAACTTGATCATCTTGTCTCCAGGTGTAAGAAATGCTCTCTTAGATTCTGAGGAACATGAATGTCCATCATGTCATGAGTTAGATGTGTCACCAGACAAATTAATAAGTAATAATTTGTTAAGGCAAGCTGTGATCAACTACCTAAATCAAACTGGGTACACTAAAATGAAGGGTGAAATAGCCCAAATGCAACAGCAGCAGCAGAGGATGCAACAGAATCAATTGCAGATGCAACAGAAACCACCAAATGCTCCACAAGTCCCTATGCAACCAGCACAGCCACAACAACAGCAACAACCAGCAGCACCACCGCAGCAGCAGCAGCAACCATCTCAGCCACCGTCACAACCAGCACCACCTCCACAGCAGCAGGCAACATCAAATGTTGTAAACAATGTTGCTGTAGTATCACCCACAAATCCTGCTATACCAGTTGTTAATCAAATTCCTGTAGCTGGAGGACCTTCAGACAACAGGTTTGTCTCTCTTTTTTTTTTTTTCTTTTTTTTTTTTCCCCCTTCCAGTTTTTATCTACAGTTTTTAAGTTGTACAGAAACTAGTTTTGTACAAAAATGAAATATTTGCCTATTGTGTCTTACAGATTATATAAAGTACTTGTTCATAACTTTTTAGAATTTTTATGATTCTGTTTTTAATTGACTTTGTTTTTAGGATTTCATTTTTTTCCTTTTTTAACTTTAGATTGTCCCCAGGAGAGAGACCACCCACACCATTGTCGGATGAAAAAGCTCCAATACATCGGACAGATGAGCCTCAGAAGGTAAGTCAATTAAGTTTCATGATCTAACAGATATTTATGACTTTTATAGAATATAAATAATTCTTAACATTCAACCTCAATCTAGCATTGAAATTTCACTTTAACCTTATATCAGTCTGACATTGGTTTAAGCTGATGGTTTCTTTTTTCCCTTATATTTCAGAGAAAAACTTGTGAATTTTTCAGTGAAATTTACACTTTCCAAAATTCTAGTTTAGAAAATATTGAAAGAAAGCATCAGGAAGACATGGGTTAAAGTTCTAAAGTTAATGCTTGGAAGTCCAGATCTGTCTATAAATCACTTTAGGTTTATTTTGATTAATTTTTATATTATTTGCCATAAATTTTGTATTGGAAGAATCTAAGAATTCAATAGGATGTTGAGATTTGGTATTGCATACTCTTTTTGCTAAAATGAAAATTTGCTTCAAAATACTTATATGAAAATATAGATAAAGATGAATTTTTGTTTTGGTTTTATACCATTGAAGTTGAAATATTTTTGAATGTAATTTCAGTGCTTACACAAAATGTGAATTTTTCAGGGTATGGCCGTGCCGGTATTGGGTTCTCGTAATCGCAATATCAGACCTCTTCATCCAGGTAAGTTATTCATTTTTCTCTATTAGTATATAGCATCCTCTTCAATAAGGACATATGCTTGTGGAATTGCCACATATTTCTATATCTTAGGGGTTTTTTAGAATTTAAATGGAGATTATATTTGAAAGCTTGCTCTATGTGTGTGTGTATATAATATATGTATGTGCGTAAAATATTTGAACCGTAAATACTGTAGGCACCAATCTATACATTCAGATTTTGAATCTAAAGTATGAGTTTGGAGATGATTGTCAAATTAAATGTATTTTTAACGTTTGAAGGATTTTTTTTTTAATTCTTGAACTATTTGAATGTTTCTTGAACTTTTTTTTGAGTTCAGTTATTAACTAAATGGAATGAGTGAAATCATAAACAATGAATGATACAGTTGAGGCTTTTTGTTTGAAGGTTCATTTTAATTTGTCTTTTAGTACGTGAGATACCCAGACCAGTTGGTCCTCCAAGAAACAGGTAGGTTGAAATTAGAAGTTTGACACTTCAGATCTTTGATACAAAATTTAATAACAGGAAAATGGTATTGCTATAATTGATCAAAATGTTTGCAAATTATTTTTTTTTTTTTTTTTTTTTTTTTTATGTATCCTATTCAGAACAATGTTTATGAGTCTTAAGATCAAAATCAGGAAGTACTGTGCTATTGACCATTTTCTACTAGGGTTTTTTTCATCTGGTCTATTCTTCGCATAAACTTTCTCCTGCATTCTGATTTTTTTTTTTTTTTTTTTTTTTTTTTGTTTTATGTTTATGTTGATGGGATTCATGTTATCTGACTTTCAATATCTTTTGACCTCCACCCAGTGCTTGTGGGTGTATTGGAAAGCCTGTAACACCCAACAGCAACATGCGGCACCCCATAAGGTGCAAAATAAAAAAAAAAAAAAATAAAAGTCTGAATCAAAATTGACATGGAAGACTAGCCACAAGACTCTGCAAATCAAAATGTCAACATAACTGTTTATTTACACAAGTAAATGTAACCAATATCAGATTTGACCATCATCATAATTATTATTATTATTAACTTGAAGATAACTGGACCACTGAAATATGGGTAATGTGGTAATGTTTAAAGAGAAACAACACCTATTATGTTTAGTATGCTTATATTTTTTTATTCTTCAGTAGTGCCCCCCCCCCAAAATAACCCCAAAAGTACTGAAATGTTGCTGCTTTATTTATGGGTTACTATTGTCTCGATAGAATTGGTGAACGTCTTCCCCCTGGGCGCAATGCACCATCTCATCCTCATCATCCTATTGCTCCAGCAATGCAGCGCTTATCACAGTCTATGCCTACTTCACAAGCACAGCCACCAGGTTCCTATATGCAAGCAAGAACTTCTATGCCACCTGGGACCATGCAACCTGGATATAGGATACCGACACCTGGTAAATATTCATTTTATAATGGTATGGCATTTTTTTTATAAATGTTTTCTGCACAATTTATTTGTAATGATTTTAAACTTTCAGGTCATTTGTTTAAAGTTCAGAATCTCTATCCAATATTTTTTTATCTCAATATTTGCAAAAACAAAATCTGTAACAAGTGAGGACAAATGACATGAATTATTCAAATGGATAACTTTTCAAGATTTCAGTAACTTAAAGTATTCTGTAAATGTTTAAAAACTTTAAAGTATTCTGTTTTACAAGAAATAATTCTATTTAACTATCACCATTACATTTGCAATTTACATTTTTATGCATAGCAATCTTACATTTGTCTTAATTTGTTGATTGATTTTGAGGTGAAAAAATCAATACATGCATAATTTCAGGAAATTATTTTATTTTTATTTATTTTTTTTTCTAATCCTCAACGTTTTTCATCCGCTTCTTGAAATAATTGATGGTTGAATTTAATATTACTAGGTGTCCCAACTGGACCAGTGATGCCTCCTCCATCTGGTTTTTGCCCTCCACCTATGGCTCCATACAATACAGGACCCCGTCCATATCCAATAAGAACAATTCCTACAGGACCTCGGCCACTGACACCAGAAGAATTTTATCGAGAAAAGAGACGACTTATAGAAGAAGACAAGTAAGTTTTGCTTTTTTTTTTCTTTTTTTTAGTACACTTGTATTATGATTTTAGTGTGGGCTGAATATTTGCAATGATGTATGACCGAATGGAATATTCCATCTGCAATAGACATTCATCCTCACTTAATATTCCTTAAACTTTCTTTCATTTAATTATAAAAGTCATGTCGGTAGCTACATTTGCTGATCCAGTTATGTGCCTCTCGACTCTTATTAACCAATCTAAAAATATTAAGTTTTTAACTAATACTATTTTCATTGCCTTAAAGAGTAAGGATTTAAGCCTTTCTGTATTTAACATAGACAAACCCGATTGAATCTCTCTTAAAAGTGGACACCGAGGTCAACACGTGGTAACATTAAGCTGATGACATTTTTAATTCCTCAGAGAATAGAGAAAGATAGCCTATTATTAGATGGATTTATTTTGCTTCATTTCTAGTTTTTAGTTCAAATGCAGAATTTATGTGATAGGAAGTTATTTTAGTCATTCTTATTTAGCTACATGTGAGATAATCACTTTTAGAGCTGCAATTACAAAACTTACAACTGCTGAGTCTTAATTGATAATAAAATTTGAAATTGGTGTAGATTTTCAGCTTAAATAAGTTAAAAACACTGACTAGCAGAAAATAAATTGATATGCAGTTTTTGATATTTAAAATGAATTTAATTTTTATTTCATTAAATACAAGCATACTTTTAAAATTTAATTCCAAAGTTAATGTAAGAACTGCCAATCTCTAATTATCAATTAAAATATAACTTAATGCTTTAGTTTATTCATTTTAAATTTACCTTATTTGCTATTTTAAAATTTAGAAATCTTGCAAAAATTTTGTAAATTGTAATAAATCTTTACTTTTATTCATTATTCAGAACATTTGAATGTTTATGATTGCAGGATTATATAAAATATTTAAAGTTTTATTTTGTAGCTAATGTCTGTTTACATTGTCATGATGTTGCATGTTTGTAATTAACTGCATTGCTGTGAAACTAATATTAAAACTAACCCTCAGACAAGTTAAATACACTAGTACATAAAAATCTTGATCCATCATTAATCAAATTTTAAACATAAAAATATTGAAGGAAGCAAAAAAAAATAAGTTAATGTTCTCAATGTATAAATAGACTTTCGACAATAACACTGGGGAGTTTGTCTTTAGTCTTTGTAGCTTTTAAAACTTTGATTGGTTTGTTGACCAAAAATGTAGAAAATCAAAGCATTAAAAGTTTTTAATTTTTTTCTCCTGATTTTAAATGATAATGTTTCATGGCCAAAAGAATTGTGAAGTCTTGTTTCTCTGAAGATTTAAAAACCTAACTTGCTATTCTCTCTGTAAGATCTTTTAATTTTGACAAGTCTTATTACTGTATGGAATATTGGTAAATTTTAAATTAATGCTAGTTAAGAAACTTCTAATTAACTTTCTCTTATAAGGATTTATTTTTAACTGGCAGAAATGTCACCAGATTCTTTTTGATTTCTTATTGTTAATAACCACCAACCTAATTGTTTTTATATGCGTGCTCATCTGATTTGAGAACAATGTTGAATATGATAATGTTAATTTTTAATATATTTAGTTAAACAGAATAACTTACATTTGTTGTCAGTAAATGTTATATATATATATATAACATTTCATTGAATAATATAGACATTATGCCTTTTTTATAATAATCCTTTCTAGTTCTCTAATTGGTTTCTTGATAAGATAAAATTCATCAACTGTAGTTTTTTTTTTTTCCTACCCAAATACTTCCAATCTCCTCTTAGATCTTCAGGAGTGAATTACAAATACAGGAAAATATTTAATGTCAACATAAAAATAATAACTGCAAATATTCAAGGCCCTCTATACCAAAAGCAATTGACTAACACTCAACAAAATTTATAAGTGTAGCAGCAATCTGTTGAAGTGCATTTAAAAATATATTTAATGCCATTTGGCATTTCCAACAATTTCTATATATTTTTATATTGGAATGCTTGTTTTGCAAAAAATTGCATAGTTGCAATGGATAAATTTAAAAAATTTTAAATAATTCTAATGGAACACGTTTATTTTTTTAAAAATCACCAATGGCAATTACAATGTTTATTTTTATAATTCATCCCTGAGGATGATCTTGGTAGAGATCGAAAGTATTTAGGTAGGAAAAACTATGGCGCCTTCCTTGATGAATTTCATCTTAACATCAAGAAGCTGATTAGAGAACTAGAAAGGATTATTATAAAAGTAGACATAATGTCTATTATATATATAATGAAACATGTTTGAATGAAGATATATATTTTCATACACACATACACTTTAGAAGTGAGTTTAATTGCAGGGAATCCCCCCAAAAAAAAAGTGTTTGCTTCTGGCTTTGTAGTTGCATAATGCCTACAAGCTTAAACTTCATTTTCATTTAGACCTAATTTGCATTGAGAAAGACTTGCTCAGCCCCTCAACAATGTGAAACATGGCAACACTTAATAACCAAAATTTTATAGCATCACTTGTTTTCAGTGTATGCCATCACTTACAAGCCCACACTTTATCTAATTGTTTTGTTTACAATGTTTCAGCAAATCTTAATATGGCAATGTTTTCGTTTTTTTAAATCTTTTAATTAACTTGCAAATATGGCTAACAATAGAGAGCAACTTTAAATTGATCAAAGATGGCTGAATTAGAATCATTTTCTCTACCGTATGTATTTCTATATTCATTGTTGCTACTCTCAGATGCACGTTTTCTTTTGTTTTCTCAATTAGGTTTTTTTTTTTTTTTTTTTTTTTTTTTTTTGTTGATTTTTGAAATAAGATTTTGTTTGCTTTTGTTTGCATGCTTGCCATAAATGTCATTCTAATGTACAATTATGTGCACTAGGTTTTAATTGAATCTGAATGTGGAGGTAAAAGCAAATATATAGCTAGTATTGTTTTTAAGTATAAAATTGTCTATCAGGGCTTTTTTTTAATGTAAAATAAATGGTAGGTAGAAACTTGTCAAAAAAATTTTTTTTATTAACTCTATGCAGCATATTAATGTTTCTATCATCACATTTGAATTTAGTCACAATTTTTCTGTAGGGCTTTTAATTAATTGCTTTTGTTTACAATCCAAAATATTTGGTTTTACTGATAAAATTAAAATAGTTGCCTGTATTCATTTCCATGCGATTTTATAACCTGATATAACTTCCTTGTTGGATTTGACAATATCTTTTTTCTTTTTTTTTTTTCTCTTTTTTTTTTTTTTTTTTTTCTCAAGTTATTTATATAAGGCTGTTTTATTTGAAATACTTTGGTTTGGGATCAGAACTTGTGTACTTAATTTTATCATTGACACAAGGGATTTGTGACCTCAGGACCTCTTTTTAAGATTTTGCAACATATTTCCACTGTAATTTAGAAATTTTTAATTTCTTTTTGACTAATCTATGATGTTATCTTGTGTTGTCTTGATAACTTAGGCTTTAAGTGTAGTGTTTCTTGTAAAGCATTAAGGGCTTATATATATATATATATATATATATATATATATATATATATATATATATATAAATTTAAAGTGAAAACTTTTTAAAAATTGATATTTGTCTCAGCTATCAAAATTTCAAACTATTATATTTGGGCTTGCCACATTTTAGTGCCAGATGCTTTACAAAACTCTGCTTGTTGAAAGAAAGCCTTTTATTTTCATCACTTTTCAAAGTGACTCAATATATAAAACTTTAGTGAATGTATTTATGTGGGATGTAAGTAGATGGTGTGGGTGTCTATGGCAGACAAAATCATTGTCAGTATGAGGTGGTGTTTAATGGCACAGGTAGGTGGTCACTCCAGTATATTGTCATTCCTGATTTGCAGGAAGAAATCTGATCCGTTTGATGACTTTGCTCGTGAACTAATGGAGTTCCGTCGAGATCAGAAGCGGAGACAAGTGGAACAAAGTTACAGCTTGTCCCCCTCAAGGTCTGTGTTGGTGTTGTCTTTGTACTTGTCTTGTTTTCAATTATTATATTTTTGGAAAAAAAAAAAAAAAAATCAGAAAAAAAAAAAGGAAAAATATTCAATAAAATAATTTACCATCTGTTCACAGAACTAACTTTGTTTTTAAGCCCCAGTTTTTCCTTTTGTTCATTTTTATTTTCGCTTAGAATTTTCAAACTACCCTTAAAATAATTCCTTGAAACCTCTGTTTTGCTTGACTTGTTTTTAAGCTTCTGATCTTTATGTAGAGTTAAATGGAATAAATCAGAGAACCCCCCCTCCCGTGTATCCTAGGTTTGGATTTCATTGTTAGAAAATAGTTTTTCAGCATGTGTTATGAAATGGAAAACCTAAAATTATATTTTGCATTAGATTAAAGTTCTAACCTAATTCTAAAGGATTTTTAATTTTTAGAATACATTTCAAAAAGAGGTAAGAATTCTAAAGCTCAGTTGTGAATCTAAAATATTTTTGTAAAGGATAGCTAGCATCAGTTTTGTGTGTGGATTTGAACACATCTCAACTCTGAAGTAATTCAAATTAACACTTGTTATATTATAATAATAATCATTCCTTGATTTCTCCTCTTATGATGTTCTTGTGGGTGCTTTGATTGTTGATTTCTAAGTCTACTTTCCTACAAATCAGCTTCATTCTCCCAACCATCTTCCTTTGTTTAATTTTTCCCATGGCTTGAATACAATAGAAAATTAGCAATAATCTTTCACTTCAACATTTTTTAAAATTTTTTCTTTTAAATTTCTTTGATTTGTAAAGTTCTTTTGAAATAGGTTCGATGCTTGCATTAATGTTATTTCAAAACAAAAGTTATTTAGCATAATTTGACTGAAATGAAAGTGATAATTAGGTGCAGTTTTTGATGCCAGTTGTAAAATTGTTTGCATTCAGTATTAGAGTTGTACAACATATTGCTTGCAGTGGTCTAGTTCTGTGGACGGTTGATATTGTCTGTGCCACAAAAACTTAAATTGCATCCTTGTTGCTTGTGGCATGTTGCATGGTTTTAATTGCACTGCACAGCTCTACTTAAATAGTTTAAATGATCAACACCAGAAATAAGTTGACCTTTCAGTTGGTACAAGTAAAGAAATTTGCAATTGTACTAAATACTGGTGAAAAATAAATTTCTATTTTGTTAGCTGCAACTTAAATTTGCATTTTTATTTATTTATTTTCTTTCTTGCACTTGTGCCTCTTGGGATTTTCTAATTTCATATCGGCTTGAAATGTTTTTCTCACTTGTTGGTGTTGAACCTCTTTGGGTTTTCTTGTGTTTCCATTTTAGTTTTTTCTGTTAGGAATATTTTTCAATTTAAATAGCAATTTAGACATGTTCATAGGATGTGCTGAAAAGTTCTTGGCCCAACCAAGAAAACCTTCCCCAAAAATTCTGATGTTTGGTCATTTGATCAGATTTAGAGACGTGGATTGAGCTGAGCATTCAACATGTTCATAATTGGCTAAAATCTAGATGATTGTTGGATAAATGTTTTAGACGGCATTTAAGATTTGAAGATGGGTTAAGATAGTATGCTAAGATGAATTTGCTTAGATGACCAACAAGTTTTGACAAGTGAGATAAATTCAATATTATTTTTAATTTTTATATATTATGATGTTGGATATTTCAAATCTGTTTTCTTCAAACATTCCACAGGAAGGTTTCTGTCCAAGCTCTTTTGGTCCAAAACCAAATTTTGTTTAGTTTTTTTTTTTTTTTTTTTTTTTTTTCCTGTTGATTTTTGAATCTGGTTCCAAGACGAAAATTAAAATGCTTTAAATGTTTTCAGTTTATCTTTCCCTATTATTTCAATTTTGAAACTTAAGTTTAATTATGAATTGGAAATTCAGTTTTTTTTTTTTTTTTTTTTTTGTTTTTTTTTTTTTTAACAAAAATTGCTGATAAATTTAAAAAATTTAAATGTTGTGTAATGCTTATCTTGTATGTATTTTTGGAATGTTAATGCATTTTTTGTAGCTGCTTTTTTTTCTCTCCACAATTTTGTCCCCAAAGCTAGTGCTATTATCTCAAATCTGATTTTATTACTTGTTTTGCATACCATGAGGCTTAATGCTGTTTTTTTTTTTTTTTTTTTTTTTTTTTTTATGAAAGATTGAGTTTTTGTTATTTATCCAAATTAGAATTTTTGAATTTAACCTATAATAATAATCAGGTGGCATTCATATTTTGAATCTGGTCATATTATCTGAAATTATTAGCTACAAAGAGCTGTTAAAATTGTCAAAGGATTAAAATAACTGGTCCAGGTTTATTCCTGTTAGTTTCCCTTAACACCATCAATTTCTATTTGTTAGAAATAACCAAATCATAAACACTTTATGACTGTAAAATAAATTTATTAATTAAACATTATGACATTTAAGTTTGTTCAAATTAATTTTTATTTTTTTTAAACATAGCATCTTGCCTACATGATACCATCAAAGGTGAATTTTGAATAAAGTTAAATGCACTGAATGTGATCTAATGACAAACAAAAATCTTTTAGATAATCCAATACAAAAAGAGGATGTTTGATATAATTATAGCTCTTATGAAATCTTGACCCAATATTTCACACCCATTGAAAGCTTGTTTATAGCTTTGGAAAAACCTAACCAAAAATAATTATTACAAAGTGTGTCCCAATCTGTTTATAATTTATCTTTCTTAACCTGAAGGAAGCATTGCCTATATTTACTAAAACATACTGCTATGGTGAGAAAGAGATCCATTTCTATGTTTGGAAGTTAAAATTATACATTGTTATGGGATTGACATAATTATCTTTTCTTATTTTTATAAAATTTGTTTCATTTTTAAAGGGTTAAATAAATTTGATATTGCTTGTTTACCAAACCAAGAGTAATCTTAACTTTCCTTCATTGCACTTTTTTCAGATCAAGAAGTCGATCAAATTCTCGTTCGTATTCACGCTCGTTGTCCAGATCTCCTTATCGGTCAAGGTCCTCATCACGTTCTCGTTCACGTAGCAGATACAGATCATCCTCACGATCGAGAGGGTCATCGAGATCACGATCAAGTTCACGTACGACTCCCTCCAGAAGACGCCGCTACCGTAGCCGATCTCGTACACGGTCACGATCTAGGTCTCGTTCTTACAGCCCACGCAAATATTCACGGTCTCGGTCTCGCTCTTTGAGTAGAAGTCGCTCCCGATCCAGGACACCACCTTACCACCGCTCTCGATCCCCCATGCGTCGAAGGAGTCGAACTCCTCCTTCTCGAAGCCGGGGCCGTACTCGTTCTCCTCTTGCCCCAATCTCCTCTAGAGATCCGTATTATCGAAGAGATTGGTCTCCAAATTATAACCGTGGTATGCGATCAAACCCAGTAAAACGTTATTCACCACCAGAAAGACCTTTCACGAGATATTCTCACTTCTCACCCCAAAGACCTGAAGAGTTCTGTAGGTAAGGGGTTTTATCTTTTCTTTTTTTTTTTTTTTTTTTTTATATCACAACATTAGCTTTTTACTAAACAGTCATGCATAGTGAAAATCAAACTCTCTGCACAAGTGAAGGATTTTTGAGATAAGCTTGTTAATTATTGCACTTTAGCAGGTACCAGCATTTCTTTTGACATCTGCAAAATTGTCTCAAGACTTGCAGATCATCCAGGTCTGTTTTAAATATTTGAAAAGTTGTCAGATAAGCTTCATGTCTATGAAGGTGATGAATGCCATCTAATGTTGCAATTCAACTCTTCCAAACTCAAGAATTTCTGCTAATGTAATTTCTTTGAGAGTTGGAGTAGGTAGAAATTTAGAAAAATGCTGCTTGACTAGCACTTATATTGCTATCTGTCATTTCTGTTCTGTCATTGGGAATTAAGCTCTTTAAAGAATTTTAATTAAATTTTTGTTAGTGATTTTTATAGATATTCACATTTAAATTCTACAAAGACTTAAAAAGTCTTTGTAGAATTTGTTTGAAATATTTTTGTAACATTTTCTTAATGTTTATTTTTCTTGCAGGTTTGATCCTCATGCATATGAAGATTATTATCGAGAATACTTTTCACGGTATAATAACCCTCATGGCAGTGTTGGTACTTACCCTGCTCCTGCAACAGTTCCAGTTGCCACTACAACTACTGCCCCACAGTATGATAGATCTTATTATGACCCCAGGGGACGACCAATGCCGCCATCTAATGCCTCTGTGAATGTGACTGCTGCCAACTCACCCTCCAATAGAAGTCGCAAGGGTCCAATGGCAAGAAGTCCCCTACGCCGAGATAGACCAAGAGAAAAGCCAGATATTAAGACAGCTAAACTAACTGAGCCGTTACCATCTAAACTCAAGGAGAAAAAGATAAAAGTAAAATCCGAAGATGATCTTCGGAAAAAAATGGAACGTAAACGGGATGAAAAAATTGAAAGAACAAATAAAGAGAAAGCAAAGGATCCCCCTCGAGAGGGGGGCATACAGGCGAAAAAAGCTGCCAAGTCAAGTGAGAAGCCTCCTAAAGAGTCTAAGAAAAAATCTGATGTTAAAAAACACAAGCCAGTTGAAAAACCTACACGAAATGTGGTAACAGATCCAGTGTCAAAAGAGGATAACAACCATAAAGAGCCGAGTCAGAATAAAGAATCAGTCTCTGAGAATGTATCTAATGTACTGAAACGACCTGTAGAAACGAGTAGCAGTAATGTAGATGTATTGAGCAATAAAGTGATTCGGCCTGTTCATGTCTCTGATCCCAAAATCCTTGGCCATGCTGCTGACATGAAAACTGCTCCAAGAACTGCATCTGCTAAAATAAAACGTAAAACCCGTCACCAGTCAGGAGATTCTTCTCAGAAAGTTAGCCTTCCATTATTAGATGATTCAGACAAGTGTGGCCCTGCTAAGAAAAGTCGTCGTGAACCTGTACATGAGAAAACTGATGCAGACACTGAAAATGACCAGCATAAAATTCCTGAAAAGGTCCCACGTGGGGAGAATGATATGCTGCTTCCTGCGCCCGAATTGTCCAAATGGGAGAGAGATGATTATGAAATCAATGTTGAACCAATGAAACCTAAAAAGAAACCTGCTGAACGAAAGCCTCTTCCAAGGTAAGTTGAGTCACTACATGATTTCCATATTTAGATCAGATTTTCTGAAAGGTTCAGTTTCCTTGATATAGGATTAGTGATTTTATTATGCCTACAACAACAAATAAGAAGGGTTTTGTGTTAAACCCTTCTGCTGTATGTAAATGTGTCTTACAAAATATCCATGATAAAAAGTTTTGACATTTTTGTTTGGGTTCATGATTTTACCATTTCATTCCCCATCCACCAATCATCAAACAGATTTTTTTTTTTTTTTCTCTCTTTGCTTCATATGTTTAAGTGTTGCAGTTTGTAGCTCTTATCTGGCTGTAATTTATAGTTTAGTGCGTGTGTGGTGTGTCTTTTTTTTTTTTCTTTTCCAAGTCAGTGTAAATGATCAATTGTATAAAGGAGTCCTGTTTGTACATTCCTACAAAAGCTACAATAATTTGATAAGCTTGTTTCTTCAAATTTTATTTTTTTAGATCTGTAATAGAAAGTGCTGAGAAGGCTATTACAGAGAAACGTCGCAAGCCATCCATGATGTCCACTTCAATACCCACTTCACCTAAGTCAAGTCTCTCGTCCCGCAAAGTTTATGTCGATGAGAAAGACAACCGGAAACTCAGCTCTGTACAAATTACAATTCCTGGTGGTGAACGCAATGGGGGCGGCAGTGGTGAAAAACAGTCACGACATGAGACAAGTGAAAAGCGAGGAGGACATAGAGATTCTTCACGTGAACATTCAAACAGAGAACCAAGTGCTAAAGAAAGCAGCAGTAGCCATAAAGTGCAGGAGGCATCCAAATCAAAACAACTATCGGATGTGAATACAAAAGAGAGCAGAGGCAGTGACCGCTTTGAGCGTAAAGAATCAATGGTGGATGAGGCCAAGTTTGTTCCTGACTATGAGGAGTCTGAATCTGGTAGTGAGGCTAACACATCAGATGTGGAACCCGCTGAACAAACACGACTGTCGCCACGTAGGTCAGGCGCCACAGACCTGTCATCTGAGGAAGAGACAGCCAAAAAACATAGCAAGAAATCCAAAGACTCCAGCAAGAAAAAGAAACACAAAAAACACAAGAAACATAAGGCAAAAAAGAGCAAAAAGAAAAAGTCACACAAACACCGTGGAAGCAAGGAGAAGAACGTTGTGCGTGATAACAGCGTCCCAGAACAAGGACAAGTAAGGGATGGGCATGAGAAGGACTTGAGGGAGTTAGTTGACTCTAGAGAGTACCATGAACATCGTGATAGTAAGGTTCGATCCAGAATTGCTCGTTATTAAGAGCAAGCAAGCAAGCAAGCAGAGGGATGCATTACCATGTCATCAACTTGTGTATAGACATATTTCTTCAATCAAATGAGGGAAGACTTTTCAGTTGGCTTGTCATTCCATTCATTTTTCTTTTTTTATATATGTGCTAAAGGGCACTTTGATATTGATTTTCATTTTTCTCTCCTTGGTGTAAACTCCACATGTCAGGCGAGGAAGGCAATCAATATTTTCAGGCTGATGATAAGAACTTTGATGGAAGACTTATTCTAATTTCAGTTTCATTTTATGTGCAATATGCAATTGGGGATTGATGAGCCAAGTGAAGAAAATCATTTGATAAACAGTATTGCTGTTTACTGGGATTTATTCTGTCAGCCTAGCAGAAAAAGTTGTTGGCCTCAAGACAGTATTACGGTGTGGGGGGGGGATCCTTGGTAATGTGACAATAGAATTGGCTTTCTGTACTGTCAATTTGAATGGAAGCTGGTTTGTGCCTGTACAAAATTGATCCAGGTTTTCTAGCCAAAAGACTTTGGCAGATAACGTTTTTTAGGTGGGGGGAATTTCTAAAAAGCTGTGCCTTTTCAGAAATCTGCCCTGATGGTATGAAATTCTATCTCTCACAAACACACACACACACGATGGCAGATAGACCTAAAGAACAGGTTTTGTGAGGGGGCACACACACCCACATGCGTTATGGAGACTATTGGCCAATGAGTGATATTGTCAAGAAAATAATTGGACATTGTGTATTTTTTGTGAGCAGAAAAATCCTTGATGCTTCCAAATAACCGACTCTAGCCTCCTCTTGGTGTGATATCAAACTTAAAGTTAGCTGTGAAGCAAAACAAATCTTCATCTGCCACCAACCAAATGGCTGCATGGTTGTTAAGGATTAAAATGTTTTGTCAATTTTTAACTTGAATCATTTTAGGTTCCAGACATTCTGAAATTCATTCCTCCAAAAGAAATGATGCAAACCAAAAAATAGTGTCCAAGATTTGAAGAAATGACATTTTCCAATATTTAAAATGAGATAAACATTAGTCAGGTGGGTGCAAGGAAGTCTTGTCAAAAGAAAGGGGAAGAAAAAAAAAAAAAAAAAAAAAAAGCAAGGAAAGATTTTTTTTTTTTTCCCCTATATGAATTGACTGTCATTGGAACAAGTTTCATATTAACCTTTTTATTTTGTAACAGTGAGAAAAGAAATCTAATTTGAAGAAAGATGGTTTTTATATTTACAGATTTAAGATTTAATTGCATTTTAAAACTATAATCCCAATATAGTCTTTGGCCAGGTCAATTTACATATCCTAAGATACAACTCTTAAAAGCAAACAGTAGACTTAAAAACTTTGTTCTGTGTGTGCGGGGAAAATTCTATTGCTGACTCAGTCTTCATAGATTTCAGCGAAGTTCTTTGAAACATTGTCATAACTTTGTATAATAGTAACAAGTATATGGTTAACAATTAACTCATCAGGGTGATGTGAGTTTAAACCTTTACTAATAGCCCACATTCATATTAAGGCTCTGGATAGTTTTGAGGATTCAAGTTTTTGGGGGTTTTTTTTTTTTTTTCCTTTAGTCACATGACCATTTACTTTATCAAATTACACCCACACACTACTGCTTATATATTTATCGAGAAATGATTGAAACCTTGTCACAGAACAAAATGTTATGAACCATTTTATTTTATTTTTAACTTAACTAGTTGCTTGTGCTGTTATCTCTACATACATGGGTAGTTGTCTTTTCTGATGATGTAACCTAGTAATGCAAGGTTTTAAAAGAAATGTCAGCATAGAATAATGAATAGTTGATTCATGAAAGAATGATTAAATTTTTATAACAATAATTCTTGTAGTTGTCTTGAATGCAAAGGGATTTAGATAGTTATGTGAAACTAATTTCAAGGGCATTTCTTTATTCTCACTTATTATCCATGCTAACTTGGTGTACTGGTTTTGTACTTTTTAATTCAATTGCCACATTTTTTCCCCCCCCTTCCCAATTTATCATCCCCTGGATTACTAAGCAACACTTGGGGTTTATATTAAACTGACAAGTTGCTTCCTCTCAGTGATGCCGTGTTATTTGTATATAGAGTAATTAATCCAATCATCATCATCGTCGTCATTACAACTTGGCAGGAAATGGTCACAACTCACTGCTGACCTTTCCTGACATCCCCAGCACTCATAAGGCAAAACAAGATCTTGTAATTAATAATAATAAAAATTATTAAAAAAAGTTTTTTTGTTGGTTTTTTTTTTTTTCTGAGGATCAATGCTCGTATATAAAAGGGTTTTGTGCCCCCCCAACCTCTACAAATTGGTAAATAGGATCAATTTAAGTTCATACTGAAAAAAAGAATTTGAATTTTATTACTGAAATTTTTTCCATAATCATGACTAATTGAAATTAATAAACTGTTATACATTGTTTAATAATCCAAATTTTCAAAAGCATTTGCAGATTTTTTTTTTTTAGCTTTGTTAAAACAAGTTTTTAAAAGTTTAGCAGTTGCATAAACATTTCAAATAACATAACTGAAAAGCAAATTTTTTAAAATTTTTAATGTACTTTACATGCTTGTTATACTCTAATCAATCTTTGGATTGGATAAAGTTGGCTTTGAAATTACAAAAAAGGTCAAGACAACTTTTAAAAAAAGTCTGGATACAATGCCACAGATAAGTTTCGAATAGTTCTTTATAGAAATTGTCAGACATTATTTGAATTCCTCATCTCAAAAATGGTCTGATTTTGCTGAAGTAACCATACTCTTCCAATACCAGCCAAATTTCATTGCCTGTAATGAGTTTTAAAACTGGGTAGTTCTTGTTTGAGCTGCAGATTCTATTTTTTTCATTATATTGCTTTGGAAAATAAAATCTGCAACCAATTCAAATTTGAACTTGGAAAAGACATTAATCTGTCTCCCTTTCTCTAGTTTTGGATTAGTGTAGATTGGTTGCCTCCTAAGTGTAGTGAATCCAGTCAGAATGAAAGCTCTGAATTCAAAGGCAATGGAAATCAGACAAAAAAAAAAAAAAAAACACTAATATATTCAAGATAATTCTGCACTAAATATTAAGGCATATGTTTGGTTCAACAGTGTGATGGTTAGCAAGCTTGTCTTGCTACATCAATTATAACTAGTGAGTTTGATCCTTGCTGCTCCATACTTTTGGTATGCTTAGAAAATCACCATTGAGTTGAAAGGAATTTGAAATGATACTGTTTTGCAGATCATGTTAATCTTTAAAACAAGCAACATATGTAAATTATTATTTATTAAATACTTTTGAGAGAAAACATCTGGAAATCTTAAAGCTTTCTAGCCTAATGCCATCTTTGAGACTGGTCAGCAGACTGAGGAATTTGCAATTTTTGTGTTGTCATCCTGTTTTATTCCTGCAGTAAAATAAAGAACCAACATTAACTTAATAGTTATCTTTAAACTGCCAGACCAAAGCAGCTTGAGGTCAAGACAATTTATTATAGTATATTTAATATCATGGCCCTCCTCTCCAAAACCCTAATCTTAGATGTTCATGATCAAAAATAAATTCAAAATATGAAGACATTCCAAAATTTAATCAGTTTTACTAAGTAAATCATTGGCTCTAAAATAAAGACAGACAAATGATTTATTTTTTTAGTTTCCTTTATTTGAAATTGAAAAGGGTAAATAAATGCACAAGATTTTAAAAAAAAAAAAAAATACATGAAAGACTTTACCTGATGCATGTATCAAAGCTGAATTATGAAAATAAACATTACTGTCATCCAATTTTTAGTTTTATTATTTAAGGTTGGGACCAATTAATATTTAACAATCTTAAAAAAATTTAGTTGATGTTATCTGATGAGGGCATCTTTTAATCAGGAAAAAAGTGGACATGTAGACTTGTTTTTTCACTTATAAAGTGAAATTATTTCAGTATGAATCTACTTTAAAATGCCCGAATTATTTGTTTCTACAATTTGGTTGTTAATGTAACTAATGTTTAATTATGTAAAAAAAAAAAAAAAAAACTAGGCTAACTGAAATTGGCCTGAGAAAATATCCTTATATTTTAATTTTTTTTTTTTTTTTTTTTTTTTTGTGGTAGAAAATACCAAAGAAAATTTTAAAAATCCAATGAGCAGTGGTTGAACTTTACTATCTGAACTGAAATATTAGAAACTATGGCAAGTCTGGGTTTAATTAAAATCTTTTTCTTAGTCTAAGAAATGGAAAGGGAGGAAAAACAAACAAAAAGACAAAAAGCTTGCCACTTAAGTAAAATTTGAAGTAATTAAAAAAAATAAAAATAAAAAAATAAAGTCAAGTTGTTCCCAAATGTCATGTAGTAAACATCCCATGATGCAATAGTACAAGATTAAGTACTTAAGGCAAAATATTTGCCTCTATTTTGGCATTGGTGAAGGCTTTAATAAAGTGGAAGACACTTAAAAAAAAATCACACAAACTGCCATGATCTGATTTTTAAGAAAATCATTTGATAGATTTCAAATCTACCACAAACTTCCAATAAAAAAAAAAAAAAAAATCTCGATTTACTTAACCGTAAGAGTGACATCCCCTGAAGATGAGTATTCTCCCCTCCCATGGTCGTCAGTTATGACGTAACATAGGCGTCATGTCATTAAAAAGCAGATCGTTTGTAAGCAGTCTGATTCTCACTGTGTGCTTTATAATTACGGCCATGTGCCAAAACTAAGCTACACTTAGTAAATATCAACAATGATTAAGTAAGCAGTTATCACCGGATAATCAGTTTTGTGCTACAAAAGCAAACAATGAATTTTTTTTTTTTAAACGAGGGGGGGGGGATCACTGGTTTAAAAAAAAAAAAAAAAAAAATTAAGGTTATTTTAAATGCACCAAGGTAATTTTTATCATAATTTAATAGTATTAATTCAGAGTTGGATGGGGAGAGATGGCAGAACTGATGTATAATAATTATAATAAAAACCCCAAAAACCCTCCATACATAGAGCAGGGGGTAGTGGTCTAGACCATCAAGCTGGTGAAGTGGAGGTAGGCTGCAACCTACTCCAGGTTATTGAGATCTAAATTTGTCAATTCCGTGTGCGCTTCTACACAACGGACTTGAGCCAAAGCTCATCTGTAAATTTGAGGCAAGAAAACAATTTTTCCAAATCAAAAGACATTCATGGCAGAAGACCAGACATAATGGGACAAGTCAGAATTCAGTTAGTGCTAATCTTTTTTTCAAATTTATACCAAAATTTTGGTCAAAAATTTATCTGAAAGAAGTTATATCCAAATAATGTTAAAAAAGAAACTCTACAATGAGCATTATATATATATATATATATATATATATATATATATATATATATATATATATATATATATATATATAAAATGTAGTTATTACAGAAGCATACAAGAGAAAACAAAAATCATGAAACTTTTAATCTAGAGGCAAGGGTCATGAGATATATGAGTATGCATTTATATATTTGGAAACTGCAAGTTATGGTATACATAAAAAGGTAGATGTTACTTTATGCACATATCGAAGCATATATGTACATAAACATATGCAAATAGACATCTAACATGCAATCACCTTTCAATAATAAAGACATTTTTCAAAGTTGAGCTAATTTATACTTTCAACATTTCCAATAACATCACAATTAACAGGAATAAATATGAATTTTCTTAAAGCAGAAATGTTACAGCACTGAGTCTGGTATCCTTACCCTATATTGTTACAACTTAAGTTTTCATATTATATACAAGGAATTAAGTACATATTCAGTTTTCTATTTTGATGTTATAAAAAGCTTTTTATCTCCTTAATTCTTACTTATGAGAGACTATTTTTAAATTATATTAACTTCAGTTCTAAAGGACATTACTTTTTACCGAGCAAATAAAAAAAATTACTTGGGATTTATTTTAGTTAATTAAAAAATAAAAACAAAACAGCAACATGCAAGAAAGAAAATATACTTTGCAAATCTTGAGAATATGAAAATTTAAAAAATTCATATTCTTATAGTCACCCCCCCACACACACACACATATGATGAAGGTCCAATATATTTTATGAAGAACTATTTTCTGTTGAAATGAAAAAGATTTTTTAGATGTAATGAAAGGCAGACATTTTCTGGAAGAGAACATAACAGATGCAACATGAAGCATTGTAGAGTTGGATGGATTCTATAAAAAGCTAGTTCCAGAATAATTTCTGCCAATTCTTAGCTTTCCATTCTTTCAAATGACGTGTTACTTTTCCTTTGAATCAATGCTTTTATCACAAATGCAATCAGGACAACAGTTACACAAACTGCTGCTATAATAGCGGCAATTATGCCTGCAAATAGAGAGAGAGAGAGAGAAAAAAAAAAGTCTTAGTTAAATATATAAAACTACATAAAAATAAAATATAAAAAACAGTATTTAAGCCACAGCATTATGGAGTTAGAAAAATAGTTATCTATACACTAGCCTAATACATCTTGACATTCACAAAATTAATTATTCAAAGTCATCTTCAGATGAACATTTGCCAATAAGGAATTTGCATGAGGGCTGCAAAGACCATGATGGCATTTTACGAGGAGGAGAAAAAAAAAAAAACTTCCGAAGTTTTGTAGGAAATTGTTGGACAGAAGAAGTGAGGCAGGTTGAGGAACACAACAGCTGCTCTAATAGTCAATTAATTTGCATAATAAATCTTATAATTTGCATTTTTGAAAAACCTCAAAGTAATGTATCAATTTACTAGAGATAAATTATATAATAAGTAGTGAAGTAATCATTGTCAGTGGAAATAAGTGTGATTCGAGGAAAAAAATGAATGGTTCAAAGCACTAAATAAATGGTTTTAACTGAATTATTTCCTGTTTATTTATGAATGTAAATCATGAGACATAGGTAATGTTTCATAAGATTTAAATAGAATTGTTATAAAGAGAACAAGAAAGGATTTATTTACCATGACTTAGTCCACCACAGTTTATTAGACCATCTAGTATTCTTTTAATAAATCCAGTCAGAAAAGCTTTGCTGTCTTCACCACAGGGAGCAGCAGCTCTTTCTACACACCGAGTAAGATCGTTGATTTTACTGAAATGAACAAAAAGAATAAAGTTTAAAATAATTGTTTAGAAAACTGTTACAGTAATGACAATAGCAAAAAAAAAAAAAAAAAGTGAAGGGGGAGGTTGAAAGAAAACAATTTGATATTTACTCGCAAGCATCATCTTTTGTCTGTATGAAATGCGGGCTGTGTGCATAGGACATACATTCTTTCACATTGCTTTTAACAGGTTCTTGATTCAAACAAACATGGGTCTTCAAATACACTGAAAGAAAAAGTTAAAATAAGGATTAGAACATCAGAAGTAAAATATAGTTCTTCTATTTAAAGACTAAAATTTGCCAATATTCACCTGAAGAGGACCAGAAAGTTAATGATTCAAAGTCAAGCAGGGATGTTTATAGGTCATCTTACAATTTCAGACAAATTTTAAATATATTTATATATAAGTACTTATACAAGTTATTTTAAAAAACAAGGATCATAACATTCATTATATATATATATATATATATATATGATCCGACAGTATGAAGAAAAATATACTGAAAAAAATGCGATTATGCTGTTTTAATGTTAACGTCGGACGTTTCGGTCTAATAGACCATCTTCAGGACATTCATAAAACAGACCATATACAATTCAGCAGGAAAAAGACAATGGACATAAAAGCAATACCAATCCAAGCAGATAACTGAAATCTTTTATAAGATCAGCATAAGATTTCAGTTATCTATTTGGATTGGTATTGCTTTTATGTTCGTCTTTTTCATGTTGAATTGTATATGATCTATGTTATGTTTTATGAATATGTCCTGAAGATGGTCTATTAGACCGAAACGTCCGACATTGACATTAAAACAGCATAATCACATTTTTTTTTTGTTTTTTCATTAATATATATATATATATATATATATATATATATATATATATATATATATATATATATATATATAAAAAGATTTCATTAATTGTTAGAGAATTAATGAATTCCAAAAATATACTCGCTCTTTAAGTGACAATAAAATGCACTGTTTGACTTACAAGATTAATGGTTAAAATTAAGAAATATTAATGGTTTTATTTAATGAAATTTAATGCATGGTTAGAACAAAAAAAAAAAAATGTTTTTATTTTATTGTAGTTTAGTCTTTGGGGCTTCAAGAACATGGCATTTAGACTGAATCAGAATTAACAAGTTGCTGCTGTCTGACATTACTATCAGTGTGGCTCAAATGCAACTGAGGCAAGATGTCACCTCAGTAAATAATTTCATATTCATGTTGTTCAGGGCAGAAACCTCAAAATCACTCATTAACAAGTTTGAAACAATGAGATGACCAGCTACTGCAACATCTAATGCAAAAGGTGAGCAGTTGAAAGTTTATCTAATTGACAATCCATTTGGCCCTATATTCCTCACCTATTCCATGCTCTGCATAATGGAGATGCTGATTGCAGATTTGAGTTTTTGGATATGTTCCTTACCGTGATGTGCAATGATGAAACTTTATGGTCAGATAAAGCAAGCTTTAAATTTAGATGTCCACATTAACCGACATAATTGCTCGTAATGGAGTCATGAAAATCTCAAATATGGTTTTGGAAAAGGAAAGTTAACCTCCCAGGAGTAATCAACATGAAACTGTGCCAAAGGGTTGTATTGCTTTGCATTTGCTTTCTTGTATCAAACACAATGAAGAACAGTGAACCATTTTGTTTGTAGTTATTGTTCTCTATAATAAAATTGAAAAAAAAAAAAAATAAATAAATAAAACAAATGCTTTTCCTAATTTTTAGAGAGCTAATGATGGGACTCCTATAAATATTTGCACTATTAATGAGCAGGGTATTTCATGTTGTGAGTAGATCACATGACACTTTTAGGATTTCTCAAAAAAAGAATAAAAAATAAAAATAAAAAAATAAAAAATATCCAAGATGGAGAAATCTGGTAAAAAATAATGACTTTTCCATGTTAAGCAAAATAAGAAATACAAGTAAAATTTTGGCCTCTTTTTTTGAAAGTCATTTTTATTGTGTCAGCTTTTTTTTTCCTAAAAACTTTAGAGATATTTAGATGACTGAACAAGAGATGAATTAGAAAACTTCAATGACATCTGTACTGGTAATATTGGTTATTTCCTGATAAGAAAATATTTGGCATTCATTAACCAAACATCTACCACTGTCATTTGAAATTTATAAACTCTTGCTCTTGAAATGAAATTTTCTAGGTTTTCTAAGTTTTGCATTACCCAAGTTATTGTAATGCCGAATTAAAAGATTATAATTACAGAATATGCAAAATGTGTACTTTTGGGAAGAAAAGGAAAAGTACCATGGCAATAGCAACAGTTCAAAAAACATTAATGTGAAATATGCCAATGTTTTGGAAATAGTTCATTAATAATTTTGTTAGCCATTTGTTTTGTCCCACCCCCATAGGAAAATGAAAGTTCTGCACAGCATCCAGAATAGTATTTCAAAGTTCATTTTTGTTGATAAATTGCCTGCTAGAGTAAACCATTTTTCAGAGTTACACTCAGTCAAACAAACTTCTTTGAAACTCATATTTAGGTAGCCATTAGTTTTTAACCAAGTGTGATGAAGCATTATTGCACTTTAGGTAGAAAAAAAAAAAAAAAAAAAAAAAAATGTGTGAATTGTCATCTTAACATGTAGAACGCTAGACAATGTTTGAAATGTTGGATAACTGAATGACAAAGTAGGAGAAATTGCACACACTGGGGGGGGCGTTTGTAATATAAATACAAGTAACCCTCATCTCCCAACATGCATATATAATACCATAAACAAGGACATTACTTTGGTCTAAAGTCCTTTTAGAAGACTTCATGCATAATCCCCCCCCACACACATACACTGTCATTTGATTACCTAATGTTTGTATATCAAATTCCTGTATAAAGTTTAAATCAAATTTCTCATTTTTAATAGAATGAAAATGGACCGAGGTTACTATGATTTATTATGAAAAAAACAATTTATCCATATTGGGTTTGTTCAAACCCCCAGGCCAATTAAGCTGAAATACTAGGGATTGGGGACTTCATACTATGTCAACTGGATTCCCTCAATCAATTAACATTACCTGGTCAACATTTTCACAGCAGTCTGTTTCCAATCTCTACCCATGTATTTAAAAATTCAGCCTATTTGTTTTTCAGATTTATTAGCTCTCTTCCTACTGACAAATACAGAAATCCTTCAAATATTTGTCCTCAAAAGAAATATTTCTTTAGCTTTTATCTGGATCTGTTCCATGGTCCACATAAACATTTTAACTCCTCAAGACAATGGTTTTCTTAAAGCTTACTCCCCCACCCGTGTTTCTTCAGATGGGATCTAAATGTTGAGCCTTCTTGTCAACATCTGAAACCTCAATTTATATTCAAATCTCACTTCCGCCAGGATTTGAAATTCAAAACTTGAAAGAACCAACCCAAATGTATCATTTCATGTTAGTAAAATCCAAATTACCCAGCTTGGCTATTTGGGTTTTTCATAGCAACTCAAAGTGATTCTAAATGGCCACCAGGGATAAATTCATTTATATGTAAAAGATAAATCCAAAAGTTAGTAAAATTTAGAATTTATTATGAACAGAGAAAAACTGACATGGATTAAAAATTTACTATTTTTTGTCAATGCCTATATGTATATGAGGTTTATATATTAAATTTATCGATTAATTAGCGTAAATAAAAAAAAAAAAATAGAATTAAAAATAAAAAACTCACATTCACGGCCATCTCCACAGATATAACCAAAAGTTTTGGTAAATATGATCTTGACTTTACGAAGTGATTCATCATTACATTTAATCACAGTATCATCATAGCACTGGAAGAATCCTGTAAGATGACTGTAAAAAATAAAAAACAATTTATGCCATAATATACAATTTTACAAATAAGCAGTCATTAAGTTTTAATGGCTTTTACTTTAATTACAACATTCAGATTATTTAATTTCCAAGCCATACTGCTTATTAATTTGAGTTATTTTTCTTCAATATCCAGGTCATTTTATTTCCAATCTATACTGCTTATTTAACAATCATAGAAATGCATTGTAAATAAATGTAATGTTCTTAAGTTGTAATTGCTTATATTCTTATTAACTTGTGAGGAGTTGTTTCTATAACTAGGTTTCATCAAGGGGGGCATGGGCAAATATTTAGAAGAGACTTTAATCTCACAATCTTATGAGAGAATTCCAGCATGTAGCACCAATGGAAAATGTGTGAAGTTGGATAGACAGAACTACTGATCATGTCAGATATGTGCTCTTCCAGAAATTCTAACATTCAGCATAGTTGCAGTATAAACTGCTAATGGTCTGAGTTTTGAACAAATGTGCCTGAACATCAGGAATTGGCAAAGCACCTTAACAGACAGGCATACTAGCTGCCAGCTTATGATATTTTTTTTTTTTTTTAATGTTTCCTAGACATTCTGGCCTCTCCCCACACAAATTTTATTAAATTCAATCTACAGTACTAAGTGTTATATTATTTTAAATAAGTCTACTATTCATCCATACTGTTGCCACATATGGTCCATTGCCCTTACTTATTATAAAACGCAGATTGTGTGTGTGTGTGTATGTGTGTGTGTGTGTGTGTGTGTGTGTGTAATGTTTATATATTGGATCGGATTTCCTACATTTTTCAACTGATTTCAACAAAACTTCACAACTACATAAAATTACCTTGTGGTGGTTCTAACAGCACCAAAAATGGGAAAAAAAACAATTGTTTTTGCACAAAATCAATTTGAAAACACGATTAAGAGAAATCGTGTGAATGAAAGGGGGACAACTCACATCAGGTTAAAAACCCAGGTGGTTTGTGTGTGCGTGTTCGTTTATATATGGGATCGGATTTCCTATATTTTTCAGCCGATAAAACAAAAAAAAAATTCACTTTTTTTGGCCGGTAGTGTTTCTTATTCTCTTGCACACTTTTTTTCTTTATTTTTAAATATTCAGAATGCTTTAAAAATTCCATTTACAAGACAATTGTTTATAATAAAATTCTATTCAATTGGGAGACTCATAACGATTGAAAACAATGTTTTTGTTTGAGTTTGACCAATTCATAAAAAAAAACAAAAAAAAAAACTAATTAAGACATGTGTGTCCATCAACCTTAAACAATAATCTTTGTCAATTTTATTTTCAGTCTTTATGATGGTGGATACTTGATCTATCTCTTACTGTTATATCTCTGGACAATGCTGGGCTCTACTGCTAGTCAGTAATATTATTGGGCTTGATTTAGCTGCTTGCTTTTCTTCTAGAAATACTGACACGCAAGTGACAACCTTCAACCAGAACCTTGAAGGTTCAAAAAAAAAAAAAAAAAAAAAAAAGGATTAAAAACGTGCAATAAAAAACATTAATAATTCAAAGATTTTGACAATAAAACTTTTAAGTTTGGGGCATTTTTTCACCATGTATGATAATTATTTAGAAAATTATATAACCCAGGGATTTGAGTTTACTCAGTAAAAATTCCACAGGGAGACCAACAACAGCATTCCTTGAAAGATTAAGTCCCACTTTGTTTATTCCTCACTTTGTTGAAAAAGAACACAGGTGTGTTTGAAAATTCCTACTTTAAAAAATTTATCTGTGCTTCATTTCAGTCAAAAGGTTAATATGAAATAAACATCAACTTTGATAATATTGGAATCATTTTATTGGTTTTTATCCTTGAAATTTCATTAACCGGCCTATTTAATCTCTAACACACACATTATATATATATATATATATATATATATAACAAACATGATGGAAATGAACAAAAAAAAAAAGACTAAAAGAAAATCAGCTAGACTATAGCTATATACCCAAATCATTTATAAAGAAAAAAAAAATAAATTTAAAATTTCAGTGTCCACTTTTTGTGCACATGTAGTCACACCAATCACTTTAGTTCAATGAAGTTCTAAAGGATGAAAAATGTCACTTTTACCACACATCTTGATGGATTGTCAGTGGTTCTAATAAAAAAAAAAATGTATATTAAAATGTAAATATCATTTCTAATGGTTTTACCAGAAAAATATATTGTAATAGAGATCTATTATATGTATGATAATTTGTTACTAAAATAGTTTTTTTAACAAGATAAATTTTATATTTGGTGCATTATAATTTGGTCCTAAAAGTAGTACAACTGGTTTTACATTGTATTATCCAGGAGTCCTTCAATGACTAACCTTCATTTATAACCGATAACAGAATTGTTCGTTTGTAAAATGAGAATTTTCTTATCAGCCCCTCACTGGACTCAATCATCAATGGGAGCCAAGGGCAAAAGATTTTTTTCTTCATGATCCTTTTAATGGACTTACAGAGAGCTTCAATTTTCTGATATAAACAATTAAGAGTTTCTTACCTGCAAGCATGATCTAACTGTGTCCTATTCCAAGTCGGCTGATTACCTGTAATGTCCTTAAACTGAATTCCTGGTTGCAAAATATCCACACAATCCTGTAATTCATGTTGTAGATTACAATATCCATTTATTCCTGAAGAATAAAAAAAAACAAAAAACACACAAATTGAATTATTTTGCATTGTACTTTTTCTCATCCTAATTTTTACTTGAACTTTAACACATCTGTCAGTCAGCAGTAATCAACAAACAGTGCAGATGGGGAAAAAATATAGTGATTAATACCATAGGATCAAATCTAAACTTAAACCTACCCTTCAGTATTTGTTATTGTAGTATTAGTAGCAACAATGTCTAGATGAAGCTTTGTCAACCATAACTAATTTTTATTAAAAATTCAAAACAGCAACATTTTAATTGTTTACAATGCTTCATTTAAAATTAAGGTACAAAAAAAAAAAAAAAAAAAACCCTCCTGAAACAAATATAATGTTCCTCAGTTAGTAGTATGTTTTATTTTAATTTTCATATTTGTAATTGAAAAAGCTCCTCACAAAAAGCATGCCCCTGCCAGCTAAGTGAGGAGGGAGGGGGAGAGAATCACCCTGGAAATTTATTTTACATTGTTAGATATTTCTGCTTGCACAAAATTTTGCCATAAAAATCATTCATACAAATGCAGGTCATTTAAAGTGGTAAAGAGGGTAACAATGAAAAGATTTGAAGTTGACAAGTTTTTCCATTTCCCTGAAGCAGACATTAAACACAGGAGAGCATTATCACCACCTCTATTATTTTAATATATGCTTTCTTTTTTCTTCCACTAAAACCAAACAGCATCTGATACATCTTTTTGTCAATCCAATCACTACAGAACAGTCCATTACCTATTTGAGTATAAAGTATGCACTGACTTACTAACAGGAGACAGTAGAATTATGATAGTTATGAAACAATTTAGTCTGACACAAGGGTTACAAGTGTGAGGTATGTAGTAAAGCTCAAACTAGTACATAGAAGTTTATGGTCTACTGTTAGACTACCTTGTTAACTATTACTCCACATCTAATATCATTCAGCTTAGTTCCTCATACTCCATTGGGAGAATTGATAGAGCTCTTGTCATAAGTCCAACCTAGATCAAGCCTATCATAGATGCATCTAAAAAAAAAAAAAAAAAAAAAAAATTATTGCATCACATCACTGTCCATTTGGTTGGTATAATTTATTTGGTTTTCTTGTTTCTATAGCAAATTTACTTCCAAGAGACAAGCTTACTTGTCTTCTGCTTTGAACCTACTATTTTGCAGTCACTAAGAAATCAATACAAGCAAGATTTTTATTTTTTATATTACCACAGTACAACCGATCTTCAAAATTGGCAACCACTAGTGTTTTTCACATTTGTACATTTGGATGTGCCTTTGGTGTAACAGAATACGGAATAAAGACCGAGCAATCAGAAAGCCAATTTTGATTTCCAGTTAGGTTTGTTACTGTCACTTATGTACAAATACCTGATGAGAAATGTATGAATATCTTTTCTCTACCCCACCCGCTGGCGATAGGTTGAATAGCAGGACAGACTGTGTCCTAGAGACTTATTACATATGGAGGTCAACTAACAGATATTTGACCCAATCAGCAAAACTTAGATCTAAAACTTATCTCAGGTATATTTCAAAGAATCAAAGCAATTAAGAAAGAATTTGGCACATTAGTACCTTTGTGTCTGGAAGAAAAAAAAAGTGTAACAAAAGGACAGTTTGCCCTTTGACAGATATTTTAACTACCTTCACTCCTTGGCAATGTTAATTCTTTTAAAAAGCAATGATTAGAATGGTAATCAACTTAAATATGACTATTATATTGTTTATTGAATGGCTGTCAAAACATTGTCTGATTGCCAATAGAGTCAAACTTAAAGTTTCCTTATAGTCGGTTCACTTTAATTTAGCAAAAAAGTTTATAAAACTGGATATTACTGAATTACTAGTTAACCTGCTCTTGCTATGAAAAAGGGCACCATTTTCTTAATATTTTTTTTCTTATAAGACTTTCGTCACATTACCAATAATTGTTGAACCGTTTCAGGAGTTGATCTTTTCATTTTGTAACCATCTTGGTATAAACTCATTACCTGACACTACTAATGCAAGAATTTTTCTATCTTGCATTGGTTACATTAAAAGTTACAGATATTATAAACAATAAAAATATATGAGTATCATACAGTAAGTAAATTTCTTACTATAAAAAGTAAGATTTAAATGAGTACCAATGTTTGAGAAAACATTTTATTTAAAAAAAAATAAGTGAAAATTCCTGTCAATTGGATTAGAAAGTTTAAATGTTTCTGTCAAAAATATCTTTCATATCATTACATGATCAAGAGGCTAACATTCAAACAAAAGATTAGAAAGGAAACTCATCAATACTAGAAAAAGCAATAACAGCTAGTGGACTAGAAAAAATAGTTTCCCCCAAAAATTTTTTAAAGATAAAAGTTCTCTGCTTAGTGAATGAACATCAAATGTTTCCTTATAGGGAAAAGGCTAATATCACCATTATGAATCCAGGAGAAATATATATATATTGCTTGGGATGCCCTCTAAATTGACATTCAGAAACAATGAGTAACATTGTCAAGATTGTAACAATCAACTGTAGTATGAAAGCTGCATTTAAGTGACAAGTAATAAAATATACTTGAATGGAGATTAGGTCAATAACAGTCCTTGGAAAAAAAAAAAAAAAAAAAAAATTACGTACAATATCAACTGGTAATGACTTGCTTGGTTAAAGCAACAAAAAAAAAGTATGACAGAATAACCTTTTATAATTTTCTACTAATGTATTCATATATATTAAGTGGACTTTGTTGTCAATCTTGACAAATGACAGCCAACAGTTCAGTTTGTAATTGAACCACTAGGCTATCTACATGTCTAATATAATGTGATTAGATAAAGGCTTGGGGAGGATCAGCCACATTTTATTCAGAAGTGATAATAATGCATCATGAAGTGTCCAAAAAGTCTTCCGCATGATTGAATTGAGGGAAAGAGGGCCTAGTATTGGTTAGCATTAGGTCCAGGAGTTAGAAGATTGAATCAGTTTTTTCCAAAGGCATGAACAGAAAGTGAAGGAAACATAACTGGAATTTAAACTTGGTAAGTTTATTTTCAACACAGACAAGTGTTATATTTTCTGCACATCTATTTTATGTGGGTTAGTAGAATATAGAATCCAAACAAAAGTGGAAAATCTTTTTACCGACAACACATTTTGCCTTCATTTATCAATCAGGTAAGAATGAAAAATTTATTTATATTAAAACTGTTAAAAGGTCTGTTTGGTAGGTTGGCGTCTTTTGGACAGAATGAAAAAGTCTAGTTTTAAGTCCAGCATTTGTCTTTCATTTTGACCTGAAGATGCCTACCAAACTAGCTAATGAAGGCAAATAAAATAAAAATGTTTCATAAAAAAAAACAAATGGGAATTTCAAACCAAATCCTTTACAATGGTAAATTGTTCTAACCCTAAACCCTGTAGATTAAATAAAGTGATTCAGTTCAAAATTTCCTCAAAGTTATCCAGATTGACATTCTTAAAAGCAGGAGTACATAATTGCTGAAATATGATAAATTAAAAAATAAAAATTATATTATCAACATTTCAACCAATGTGACCTCCAGCCTTCATCAGGTGATTAACTTTCAGAGAATTTTGAACAGAACCCTTTATTTCATCTATGGGAATATATTGTTATTCTGCTGTTCATGCCCAGGGATATCTCATCTAGTTCTTAGTACTGCTCCATTACTGCTCAACCCATTTTCACGAGCACACACTGTCTGACCCAGGAATAAAACTTGCAATTACTGTTACCAAATTCATAAACCAATTTGGCTATTGTCCTACAGAACGATTCTGAGTGGTGAACTGAGCTTTAAAACAAAACTGTTGGTTGAACAGATTGAATAAGTCACCTTTGCAGTATAATTCAAGGCAACAACCTGACCGATTAAATGCAATGAAGATTCCTGTTAAGAGGTTAATAGGCTCTAGCTGAGGAGACAAGGAAATTCATACATTTCTCAAGAGCATGTGGAAATGAACAAACTGCCCCATTTGGAGTTTGGACCATTAACCTTTACACCTAATCATCAGTTTAGGGTAACAGTGACCAGTTTCCCCAGACTGGAATGTGACGGTTACACACCTGGCCCAGGGTCGGATCCTTTGGTTACGGCGCCAACGGTGACGTCGCTCCTCCTGGGTCCAAGCGTGCCGCTCCAACCCCTTGGTCAGATGATCACCAGCCTCGCCTTTCCCGACTACGCTTCCAATACCTGGTCACTAAAGCAACTGTACCGATCTCCGGTCTGTCTACCCACGCTGTGTTTAGATCTTAGACAGACGGGACCAGCAGGGATTGGGGCCGATACAAGTTGAGTCCGACGGGGTGGCAAAACACAAATAAAAGAGAAAATAAACTCACGAGACAAAAAAGATTGCTGATGAAAAAAAAAATGGGTAACAACCTTTTATATCTTAATGTCCGTTACATAAAAACAAAATTGTTCTCATTTCCCAACCCGCTCTGTGGACTATGGCAACAAGTTTCTATCACACAACCTAAAAAATTTGGTTGCCTACTCTTTAGAATTGTGTATGTCGGAGTGGTTTGGTTTGACACTGGGGCTAATTTCTATATCATTCGCAGTTGATTCTTCTCTTCGACTTGAGTTGTATTTCTTCTTCTTCGTCGACTTAGGCTGGAAGTTCTCTTGTCTTCGACTTGGGCTGGAAGTTCTCTTGTCTTCGACTTGGGCTGGAAGGATCTCTTGCCGCAACTCAGCCGCAACTCTCTGTCGTCCGAGGTGATCTCTTCTCGCTGCCGTCCGGGGCTGAACTCTTCTGTCTTCGACTTGGGTGGAAAGATTTCTTGTCTGAGGATTCTCTTGCCCGCAAAGGGGCGAGTGAATCGGGCCCGATGCCCGCGTTCAGGCTCTATCCCTGCCCGCGGTCCAGCTGCACTCCACTCCAACTGATTTCTGTCGACTGGGGTCCTGCTTTTATTGACGCCGCAACAAACTGGAGTGGGTCTGTCGGCGTCAGGGGTTTTCT